AGTGAACAGTGAACTTTGTATTCTTTATCTCACTGAACGAATCGAATATGATAATTCAGTCACACATTACACATTGATTCAAACAATCTATCAATTTATTATAAAAATCTATAGTCTAACAGATCATTTTAATTAATCTTTCTTAAATGGAATATTACGTAAGTTTCTCAACCTGAATATTTTCTTTATGAATAAAAGTATTCATAAATTTCTTTTCTTTTAAAACAAACTAGAATAGTCGATTACTTCATCAATTTGCCTACATCTTTTAAAAAAGATAAAAAAATAACTTTTTAATTCATGCTTCAACTTAATGTCTTGATAAATAAATTAAAATTAAAACAATTAAGTTTTGAAATTTATTTCTTCATTAAGAAGGTTATTTCATTCACAATAATAATAATAATAATAATAATAGTAATAATAATAATAATAATAAGAAGAAGAAGAAGAAGAAGAACATAAATCAATAATTAGCAAAGCCTTCTATTCAATATTAATTAGTGTAACTAAATTAAAAGAGATGTAAGCAACTGATAAAGAATTCTATTTACATTGTAATCTAGATATTACCTATATATAAATGAATAATTGAATATTGAAAAATCAAATTAATCAATTACTTTTTTGTTGTCATTATTCATATTGTTATTTACTTATTTATTATTTGGATATTTTTACGTTGTTAGTAAATAATATGAGGATAATTAAAATAACCCATAGTGTCACTGAATAAATAAAAAAAGAGAATTCAATGAAGAAGTGATGTGAACAGGGAAACAAGAAGCTCTGAAAAACTACGAAAAGCTATTTTTGGGGACATTAATTCATTTTATGCAAAGCCTGTAAAACACTAACATTTATTTTTGTCCCTAATCTATTCTACAGAACATAAGCTTTCGTTTGATATATGATTCATTGCCGTAACCCTTCTGATCCGAAATTATTGTAATTTAAACATAATATTTCGCACCCTATTTTCTACGCTAATTCCTGGCTTTGGACATAATTGTTTTTCCTAATTATTGTACGTTGTGGTCGGGTAGTCACCGATTTATTCATGTACCTTTTTTTACACTAATCCGAAGAGAAAATCAGGTTATCGGGAATAGATCGAGTAGTGCTCCAGTTGTCTTGTCTTCTCTCGTTCGTGTGCTTGTCAGCCAATCATTGATAGAATAGTTTTCTCCTCTCTACCCCACTTCGAACTCACGTGTACTGGCCTCAATGTTAGGTCGGTCAACCTATCGCGCCGAGGTCTTAATCTGGATTAGATAAGTATCATCAGCACCAAAAGTGGGTAGACAGTCTAAGGACATAACAAGAAGAGGATTTTCCTTCCTACGAAATCATTTACTTGACCTGGACATTCGTATATATTGTTATATGGAAAATATATATGTTTATAGCAGGATAGAAAAGATTACATCACAAAAATGGATTCACGACTAAATAACAAATGAGGTTACGTACTAGCCAATGGGTAAAGAAGAAAATAATTTATGGGTCAGATTTATTTAGTCTCGAATCCATTTTTGTAATGCAATCTTTTCTATCCTCCTGTAAACATATATTTTCCAGATAACTATATATACGAATGTCCAGCTTAAGGAAATGATTTCTTCGAAACGAAAATTTTCTTCTTCGTTGAATTCTCTTTTTCTTATTCAATATGAGGATAACTGAATAATGTCCATATGGTTTATTTCAATACTAAAAGAAAACTAAACGGTTGTAGAAGATATTTTTGGTGTAAATTCAAGAAAATATTTTTACGATTTCACCATTAATATTAAAAATTTAATTATTTAAATAATTCATCAAAAGTTAGATAAATTCAATGAAGAAATACAACCAAATCACAGTTAGATGATTGAACGGAATGTTATATGTAAGGTAATATTTGTCATTGGAAAGTATCAAATAACTTAAACATTTTAGTCAATCGCATTATTTTTTTACTCATTTTGTGAGTCTATTGTACAGACGCTTAACCTTATTCGATTAACATAGACTTTTCTGATAGTAATGTAGATTTAAAGGCCAGATGGATTTTTAAAAGATGAAGAGATTCAGTGAAAAATGACTATAAATTAATTAAAAATATTACAGCATATATATACTGTAAGTACTTACGATCATAAGAATTAATTGGATTCAAATGTGTATCCATATGTCTGAAATCGCAGTTGATAATTATGTCTTACATGATATTTTGCAGGTATTGCAATTTTGATTATAGTGGATAGTGAGATAAATAGTTTTCAAACATCTTTGTACTTAGAAATAAGTTTCCTATTCCAATTAAATATTCATTAGTTTCGGAAATATTTTCTTAATAATTTTAAATCTCTACTGAAATAACGTTAAACAGAGAAACATATTTTGGTAATATCATAATTAAGTATTTAATCATATGACTGTGTAAACAGAACTGTATTGAACACTTTCTAACTCCTAATAATTATCTAAAAGACGTCAGTTCATGTTAAAAATCACCTTCGGATCCTTCAACAAAACACCCTAATAAATCAATATGTTTGTCACACATATTATGTTTCATATTAGAATATTTACTTACTTTTAACCATGCAACTAATATGGGACTACTCCATGAAGTAAATGGTAAATTACTGCGTATAGTATCTTCAAGTAACAATTTTCTATTCAGAACATTTGAAATAATCAAAAAAATGTCAAGAAAGTACAGTTTAATCAAAACACATAAAATAAAACAGAAGTATTAACTCAGCAAATGGAATCTATATTCAGTGAATCGATTTTCAAAGTTATAAAAACGTACAAATATCTTTTCAGCTAACTCAATAAAGCAGTTTATATGACTGTTTAATTGAATAGTTCAATATTAGAATCGAAATCATATGGGAAACGATAAAAAAGTCAATTGACAAATGATAGTCTTCGCCAAAAAACCTGAAGATACTAAGTTCGGGTGTTTGCTGTTTTATTTGTACAAAATGTACTTAGTGAACAGGAAATAGGAGGTATACTCAAACGTTTCGATGAAATAAAATGTCAGGTTCTTGATGACGAGTTTTAAAAAAATGATCATACAATACAATTTGTGGCATAGATCAGTTTCATTAACATTATGTTTCTACATAAGGCTTATATCATGCACCTTTAATGCACAATGTTATTGTGAATGCTTTCAAAATGTCTTTATACTATGTGCTTAAATTCTTTGCATCTTTATGTTTTCATCGTATATATTTATCCGTAGTTTTATGCGTATAGCACCGTATGTATGTACTGTGTATCATAAACTTCCAAAATGTAGAAGAGCAGTAAATTTTCATTTTAAAAACTTCATATTACTGTCAAAGACTAACCTTCAAATGTTTTCAAATAGAATTTACTTGAAAGTCATAAGTTATAACTTTCTGAAAATCATTTCCTCAGTATGTATTTAAAACATGATACATAAATTATATGGAAACGGTTTCCTAACTACTTGTCAATATTGTTCTAATTGTTGAATATAATCCAATTATTTTTAATCCAACAAAGTACAGTCAAAACAAAACTTCATTAGTTCAAAATAAAATGTCTTAACATCATGTTTTACTGGTTTTCAAGTGGAAAGTATTTAATAAAACTGATTGAAAATCATTGTAACACAATTAGGAAACCAGAAAACTGAACAAAAGGTTGTTTACACTCATTAACACATAATCCTATATATATATATAAGTTTACTTACTGAGATTTCTGTCTATCCTCAAGAGTTTGTTTAGATCCAAGAGCAGCTTAATGATAGAATAAAATGTTAAAAAAAACGGACATACTGTTTTAATGGATAACATTTGATAAACATGTTGGCTATAAAAATATTTTTACTCTCAAAGAATATTTAAAATATTAATATACTTCAATTTGTACAATAATTCGTTTTCTTATTAAGTAACCTAGATATTTAATATAAATGTGACTTGTAATATATTACTCTGATTATATTCTATATTACTTATTAAGGAAACTGTTTTTTCAGGGTTATCGTTTAGTTATTTTTATTGATTCTGGATCACAATTAAATATATACTATGGGTAACTGATAGTTGAAGTGTGAACGACTAAGATTTATACAACTTTTTTTTAAAGAATCCAATGTTTGTAATTGAACTTTTCACACATGATTCAAATATAATTATTGATTGACAGACTTCATAATTAAAATGTAGGTGACTACTAAATTGAAATCTTTATTGGTTTTACATTAACTGATTCCTAACTATGTCAATAATGTCTATATTCGGTCCATGACGAGAAATGTCACTAAAGTTGATTATTCTTTGAACTTTATTAACATTTAATATGGGTTTTAAAAAAAAGGGAAATTATTCTAAGAAACACTTTAAGGTACAAACGTTTCAGTAAATACTAAATGGTTTACTCAATCACAGTAAACGATGTATTGTCTACGAACTATCTTTTATATAAACAAACCTATCAAATCCAATAACTATTTGGTTTGTAAATGTACCACAAAGTAAACCAAAAGTTATTTCATAATGTATTGTTGTGTACCTCCACGTTGTGAATAGTTGAACAGTCTCTGTTGACAGATAAATTTATGATACTTGCAGTCACAAGTTAATTATATTTCAAATGATGACTAGTAACTGAATGAATAAATTCATATTTTATGGTTGCTGGTGTTTAAAGCCATAAGTACATAGTTCAAATCTCAGTGTAAATATCCAAACAACTAGCATGAAGTAGTCTGAAGAGCATATTCTTGATTCCACTCCCATCCTCTATCCAAAAGGCAATTAATAAGCGTTTTTCCTTTACATCACGGATTGACTTTAACTAAGCAAGCAGTGGAAATCAGAAAGTATGAAAATTTGAACGTGATTTGTAGAAATTTACGCCATTTAGTGATACATCAAAATTACAGCAATTACACAAAACAGTTACCTTGGGAGTTCATCGTATGTGATAAAACTGACTGCTGAATTGCACTTTGTTCTTGGTTAGTACCTACATCTGCAGAATAAATACCAGGTTTCGCCTTGCCAAAATAACTATGGTGTGATGGAGGTCTCGGACTGTATCTCGATGTTCCTTCTTGTACATGATATTGAGAAAAATTGTTTGGATAAACTGAACGATTGAAATGTGGCATATTCGAAAATCCTGAATCTTGTGAAGAGTATACAGCATTAGTTAGTCTATTTCTTTCGTCTGATCTATGAACTGAGGTTGATTGAGGAATATTATACACATGATAATGACGGGATGGATGAGTTAATGGATTAGAATGAAATCTCAATGAAGGCTGTTGATTGTTTGAAACTACTGATTTCACTGTACTTTCCACTTGATTCTGTGAGTTTGTTACATTTACAGGATTTGGTCTCTTGAACATACGACCCAATGTCCCGAAAATAGATCGTTTACGTTCATTTTCCCTTTGACTACTATCTGAATACTCTGTATTTCCTAAATCATCTCGTGTGCCGGTTGTTGTTGTGGTTGTGACTGTGCTATCGTATGTAGTCATAGAAAGATCATTTTGTGCACATTTCCTTTTAAGATGAGTAAATAAATTAAGAAAAAGAATAGTAATATTAAGTAACTCATTGTAATTTTAACTCTTCAAAATACATTAAAAATCTAGAATCATTTTATTTTCCTCGATCAATAAAAGTAATAACAATTATTTATTTACTTCTTTAAAATAAACTTACCGCATATTATAGTCAACATCGTGAAAATTTGATAAAGTTGGTAGTTGAGCAGTTCCAGTTGAAAAAATTACATTATGATCACTAGTATACCTGGGATTAGGGATAAACACTCCTTGATTATATAATTTTGATTGTCCCGGTTGTCGGATAGCCATAGGATTCATTACTGGTGCACGCAGTCGTGTATCATATCCTAAATAGGATGGATGCGGCGTTAGTGTGTAAGTTGTTGGAAAGTTTTGTGTATAGCTAATTGGTGGGTTTTGATAAATATCCATATTCATTTGAGTAGTAACTGTTGTAGTTCTGCAGTTGAAATTGCCCAAAGAAGCAAGAGCAGAGGGCTCTGATGAATGCTTTTAATGATAAGAAGAAAAGTAGGCACACATATGAGTTATTAATGGTGAATTCAAATTAAGAAGTAGTTTTATATGCTAAACAATAAGATGGTGTAAATTAAGCTGTCTTATTTGCTCGTAAATCACAGAGAAACCGATTTCCAAACTAAGTGTGGTCTTATTAAGTCAAGGAACGTGTGGTTCATTGGAAATCATTGTTTTTACCAATTATATATATATCGTCTTTATTTGAACAATTACCTGAAATGAATTAAAGAAAAGGTAATCAAACTTTAATTTGATATTCGTCAACTAAAATCAATAAATTTCTAATGAATCTTCCCAGTGATCTTTAGGACTGCAATTGATCAGACTCTTATTAGCATATGTGCATCCTTTGCAGATGGCCTGGATACCGCTTTTAAGTCACAAAAATTATAAGCAGGAAGGGATAGTGACTAGCAGTGGAATCCAGGACGCACATTTCGTTCTATTTGGGGCTCTTCAGCTGTGTGTAACTTCATCCGAGTTGATATTCACTCCGGTATTCCAACTCAGAACCGTTTACTTTAAACGCCGTCACGTTATCCGCCTAGCTACTTAGTCCTATTGCATGAGCTAGTGGCTATCAGGGCCCAGCTGACGAGTCCAAATGGGATAAAACGCGCGTCCTGGGTTCCACTGCTAGCCACTGTCCATCTTTGCTTATAAATTTCTAGTGAGCTATTTAACTCAGTTTCTCACCATATAAAGTATGCTGTCCGATAGTCACAGTCATCTACTAAAACTCAAAATCTGAATTTCATGTACTTTGTTCGTTTAATGGAATGATGAAGTCGTGGTCCCAAGCTAGTTAACACTCATCAGTAAGGTGAACCTGGAATCCTAAGGAAAATATATCCGAAGAATAGAACGTGTTTTGAAACACAGAACCGCTTTTAGCATACGTAACGTAACCTGCCTTATCATCTTAACCAAACCACGAATCAAACAGTTGACACTTGTTACTAAATACAAATATGTATCAAAGTATTTAGCTTGATAGTTGTCTAAAATTTATTCTATATTCATCCATTACTAAGAAGCAGCCTAGAAACTACTACATTCATCATGACTGAGTACAAACAACAAAAAAGTAACTTCATACTGAACATTAAGCTGCTGTAACATGGCCTACAACATTTTGATGTTATGTTTTTGTTCAATGAACGTTTATTTTGTCTTTTCTTAAACTCATCTGGGTTTCGAGATATCTGCCTGTTTATCTGATCTTCTTTGGTACATTATTTTGTAAAAATGTACGTGTAAAAAATTTTACACTATTTCATTACAAATTCAACTAAATTCAGCGATATTTAAGTATTTATTGTACCGTTATGATTTACCTAGATGGTTTCTCTAAAATGATTAATGATGTTGCAGCTATGAATATTTATGTTAACAATCGTTTTAAATGACTTTCTATTCAAGCTGTATAACTGTAAATTTATAAATATGTATAAAAGATTTGATTGAATCAGTTTTATGACTATATGAATCGATAACATCCGACTTGTGAAATGTTACAAATCGTTTAAAAATCCCCGTCATATTAAAAGACTAATATTTGAACGAAGAATATTCTTTTCGATAAATTCTCTTCAGGTTCTACAATTATATATCCAAATTAATAATCCGAAAAATGGCCAAATTAAGGGTAAAGTACATCGTTTAGAGCATGTGAATTTAGGATTGTGATAAACAAAATACAATAAAATTGTTAATGTTAATATGACTCATATAAAATGTTAACTTGAATCTGCGTATATGTTAAATGAAATTTTAAGATCCATGATCAGAATAAATATGGGTCAAATAGGGTGAGAGAGAAATAATAGTGCAATTACAATTCGATCAAATAAGTAAGACGTAATACAGAGGGATGAATGCAAAGTGAATGAATCATGTAAAGGGGAGATTAATGATATTTAACCAATAGTACGAATAATAATAATAATAATAATAATAATAATAATAATAATAATAATAATAACAATAATAATATACGCAGATTCAAGTTAACATTTTATATGAGTCATATTAACATTAACAATTTTATTGTATTTTGTTTATCACAATCCTAAATTCACATGCTCTAAACGATGTACTTTACCCTTAATTTGGCCATTTTTCGGATTATTAATTTGGATATATAATTGTAGAACCTGAAGAGAATTTATCGAAAAGAATATTCTTCGTTCAAATATTAGTCTTTTAATATGACGGGGATTTTTAAACGATTAAAATGTTGTGGACAACCCATTGCGTTGAAGGTGCTCAATGAGTTCCTGAAGTATAACGTAAAGTTCACTGAAACGAGAACTACTATTGAATTTATCAATAGATGCATCGAATCAGGTCATTATCCTAAATTGTACTACACGTCACTTCGACGAAACGGGGTTTATCCCAATAGAAAAACACTGAAACGCCACGCCCTAAACCAGATTGACGCCTTGCATTCAGACATAAATGATATGCAGATGAACGTTTCTCGCAGAAAGTATGCAGTAGATGACCTAACTGATGATTTGAAAATACCTTTTATGGACTATGTTAAAAACCTGATGGATCAGAGATCAGGGAAGAAACTCATCCAGCTACTGAAAGGTCTGGAAAATCAAACGGCCGAAAGCAAATTTCCAACAGACTGTAAAAGGTATGTACATAATTTATCAAGTGTCGAACTAGATAAAGAAAAACTAGAGGTATTATCCTTAGGTCTAAAATTTTGTGATACTCGTAATAACTGTAACCACATCGATACAGATATACAGTTTGAGAATCTTTATAGTCAGACACGTGATTTAGTTGTGAATTCTGATCTGCAATTAGAACATTTTAAATCAACTCTTGTAGACTGCTGTTACCAATATAAGAACAATAAATTTAGTTACAAAAGCATTCTCACAAAGAAGCACAAGGAAGCTATTAACCTACTTCTTAAGAATGAGACAGTACTGATTACAAAACCGGACAAAGGTTCAGGTGTCGTTCTTCTTAATAAAAGTGATTATATTGAAAAAATGAGTACAGTCTTAAATGACAAATCAAAGTTTCAAAAAACAACTGACCAGAAAGATTTGAATAATAAGATAGAGAAGGAGCTTACCAGATCTTTGAAGAAGCTCAGGGACCAACAGGCTATCCCATCGGGTTTATATGAAATGATTAAACCAGTGGGAACCCATCTCCCGAGATTGTATGGATTACCAAAGGTGCACAAAACGGGGGTCCCATTAAGACCTATTTTAGATATGTATAACTCTCCTTACCATACTATAGCTAAATGGCTGGTAACTGTATTGAAACCTCTACATGAAAAGCTTGTAAAATATAGTGTTAAGGATGTTTTCCAATTTGTTGATAAAATCAAAAACGCAAATACGTTGGGACTGAAGATGATGTCATTGGATGTAACATCGTTATTCACAAACGTCCCACTCATAGAGACTGTAGAATATATAGGTGAACAGCTGATAGAAAATGAAATTGAAACTACTGTCCCTATTAGCGTCGTGAAAGAGTTATTACTCAAATGCACCATGAATGTAAATTTCAAGTTCAACGGGGAAATATATAGACAAACTGATGGTGTTGCAATGGGTTCACCACTGGGCCCTATACTAGCTGATATTTTTCTAGCCAAACTAGAAAATGGTCCACTAAAAAAGATTATTGACAACTTCACATTTTACTGTAGATACGTGGATGACACGTTCATCCTCTGTAAAGATAATACATCGCCCCAAGAGGTTCTTAGACGATTTAATGAAGTACATCCAGCCATTCAGTTTACATCTGAAGAAGAGAGTAATGGCCGAATAGCCTTTTTGGACGTTCTCTTGACTAAGAGAGCGGATGGATCGTTAAAAAGGAATATAAACAGAAAAAGTACTTGGACTGGGCAGTATACGAATTTCCTGAGCTTTGTACCTCTACAGTACAAACGAAATTTGATCAAAAACCTTAGCTACCGTATTCGCACTATATGTTCTGCTGATATAGTCGAACAAGAGCTTACCACCTTGCATAATACTCTCAGGGAGAACGGCTACCCTAGAAAGTTTATAATTAAATATATGGTCACGAAGGCGAAAGTAGGCGAAATACAAACAGTGAAGAAGAAATCCCTGTTCATGCGTCTACAATTCAGAGGGGATGCGGCTAGCGAAATACTAACTCAGAGACTACGTAGGACAATACAAAAGTCTTTTAACGCCGGAGAACTGCAATTAGTATTTTCTACGCGCCCAATGGTTACAACGAAGCTAAAAGATGAATTACCTAGAATGACCACCTCATTTTGTATTTATCAGTTCAACTGCTCCTGTGGAGCGAGTTATATTGGTCGAAGTTCTAGGAATTTACATTTTCGTGCTCGTGAACACCTTCCGGCGTGGTTGAACAAAGGTTTGATGAAGAAGGTGAACAGCTCAATATTGGCCCATTTAGTACAAACCGGTCATAGTGCCAGTATAAACCAATCTTTTTCTATTATTTATAAGGTCAGTAATTTTTTGCCAAAACTGGTCAGACTGAAAGTCCTTCAAACGGCTGAAGCAGTAGCCATCCGAATGAAGAAACCGGAGCTATGCGTACAGAAGAAATATGTTCAGCCACTCCTCCTCCCCTGGCCAACACCAAGGCCAATTAATCAATCGTAATCTTAACTATTGAATGACCCAATTTGACTATGACCTTTCGTAGTCAATTGTAATTGTCCCTGTTATCTTTATTCATAAATCTTTGTATTATTATTATTATTATTATTGTTATTATTATTATTATTATTATTATTATTATTATTCGTACTATTGGTTAAATATCATTAATCTCCCCTTTACATGATTCATTCACTTTGCATTCATCCCTCTGTATTACGTCTTACTTATTTGATCGAATTGTAATTGCACTATTATTTCTCTCTCACCCTATTTGACCCATATTTATTCTGATCATGGATCTTAAAATTTCATTTAACATATACGCAGATTCAAGTTAACATTTTATATGAGTCATATTAACATTAACAATTTTATTGTATTTTGTTTATCACAATCCTAAATTCACATGCTCTAAACGATGTACTTTACCCTTAATTTGGCCATTTTTCGGATTATTAATTTGGATATATAATTGTAGAACCTGAAGAGAATTTATCGAAAAGAATATTCTTCGTTCAAATGTTACAAAGTAAATAGTGGATTAACTATTGACCCTGTTTTTGATGAGTACAAGATGAGTGGTCAGTAAAATTATGAGGTCAAATAAATAAAAGATAAGTGTATGTATGTATGATGTTGCTGTTGAAAGCACGAGAGTTATAAGCGAACATAATACGGGCTTGGAATATATAATTTATATAAATATATGATCGCAAAATATCAGTATAGTAAACAGAGAATATAGAAAGGGGATGCTAATCTAATGCTTAAGTATATAGTTTGAATAAAAGTAAACAGAGTGGTTTAATATTGATTCTTAAATACTGAAACGGAGGTTTGTTGAATTTATTCATGATTTTTGTAATGCTTGGTTGATGTAATCGTGGTATCACCCGCAAATCATTAAGAACCTCGTATATAAATGAAAATAGTTCAGATTTTGTTGTCCATCACATGAGGAAAAATGATATTTACATATAGCTAAATTAAAGTTTCTCTATTTAAATTCTGAATAAATGTCACATATATTATGTATGTTGTGGTATCTCATCATTGAGTTTTCAGCAAAGAGAATTTCATGTTTGATCTACATAAGCTTTTTAATTGATCACTTTGACAGTTCGTATAGGGGAGTAGTAACATGTACATTTTTCGTCAATTTGTGCTGATCATTTTGTAAGCGATGACAAAATATTAATTAAAGTAGGCAAGAACACTAATAACGCTGTTAATAATAAATGAACATTTTGCCTAAATTTATGTTCAAAATCCCTCACTGACATGATTAAGAGACTATGACAATACTAGTAAAAAAAAGAACGTGAAACTTCTCTGATGGATTTGGTTTATTCAATTATACAGTGAAATAATTCTTAGATTCGTATATGAGTTTAAATATACAGCATCTGTAAGATTGGTAAAAGTTGGAAGCTTATGACTGTACACAATATACATTAAACGATCTTTATCCAACATTTCATAACAATAATCAATAGGGTAGAAATATTTCAGTAGTGAAAGTATGAAACATAAACGAATCATTCATGCATTTTAATTCAATTATTTGATTAATGGGTATTCATATATACGACTTGATATTTTCCCACTTCAGAATATTAGTACTTCATTGTATTCAACCAATATTCCTGATATTTCTAAAACCGGATATTTTTGATAACTTACAATGAATAAGACGTTGCACTCAAGTTCATATATGTAATCTATGATATTAGGAAATGCTTTCGAAGATAAAGTTAGATCACAAGATATATCTACAGAACATCCTAAAATAAAAGTGTCCAAATATCTATTAGTGTCTCCTTGTTAACAATACAACCAGTCGAATAGTAGTATATTTGAGGAAAAGATATTAAACAGGAATATTTGGATTTCCTAGTAAGACATCATGACCACACTGGTGTGATTCAATAATGATCAAACTTTGTTGTGAATGGAGTGCCTCATTTCATGAAGCGATCGTTAGGACGATTTGAATGCAGCTGATAGTTGTTTGCAATGAAAACTATAGTCACAATTGTACACATCTTTTCAACCATCAATTCGAATAAATCACCGTCATCCCATATGTCTCTTTTTTCCATATATCTTTGCAATAATGCTAACACTGTAAGTAAAATGCTTTTAAACATTGTATTTAAATAAGATTACGAATACGCTATGTTGGTCAGAAGCACATAAATTTCCTCAAACAATTTAAAATTATATAATATGAAGTGTTTTATTACCACACTGTCGTAATTGATTTTTTTAAAAACTCTCATAATATCCGTAGACATTTATGTAAAGAAACGAATGAATATTCTAGGTAAAACTAAGTTTACAAATAACAACATAACTCAGAACTGTGGTTATATTTCAACCAAATACGTTCGTTAGACAAAGAGAAGTGGTTATAGGTAACTGTAAAACGTTTCAATATTTTTGTTTTCGTTACCTAATATCGAAACAATTCTTGTGTACGACTATTTCCTGTCAAATCTAAACACAAATTTATGTTACAATTGGAAACTATCTTCATCATTAATACGAATATTGTAAAACAACTAATGCTTATTTCCCAGAAATATAAGATTCACTCATAATAAGGCAATTTATAGTTCATGGGTTCAAGTTGTCGTATAAAAGATAAATATTATGTAAACATTTTTTAAAAGCGTAATCCTATAATTGCTATGCTACCTTAGATTGTAGTCTATCCATTGCATACAATTATAAGATTTATTCATTTGTACTGGTTGTTATCCAACTGACAAGTCACAAATAGGACGAAATGTACGTCCTAGATTCCACTTCTAGCCACCATCCATTTCTGCATATAATTACAAGATTGGTTAAACATAATCTATGACAAATTATTTTCTTCTATTTAGTTTATATTATGGACTTTCTTAACATAAACAGTTATAATTTATAACAAATAATCAGAACTTATTTTATTGATTGACAAATAATAAAAATTCCTACATAGCATCTAATTATTTCTCTTATTTAATTTTGAATGTCTGTTGATGAAAACGCTTCAAATGGAATATTTAAGCATCGGTAGTATCACATGGATCACAAGTTATAGTTTGTATAAATATACTAGTGATCAATGAAATCACTATGTTTACAAAAAATCATTAGGTTGGTTTCCAGGATTATTCAGTAGACCAGTCAGTGTAAACTAGGACACGAATCACACCCAATAATACTTCTTTTAAATTTATAAATTCATTTTAATGTGAATGATTGATTAACTTTGCTTTTAAATAAATATGCTACAATATGATATTCATTTTACATGGATACTCAATTGATCCCATTTTTATAAGAACTGTTCTCAAATTTACAAAATATACACAAACATGTAAAATCACAAGAATCATGCAGATAATTTCACTTTTCTTTTGACATTCCATCAGATGTTTTATGCAATTCATGCAATTAATTACAATCGTTTTATTCACCTCATTAAATTAACTGGTTACAAATGACAAACAGAACAAAGTCTAAACCATGCTATAACATAACTACTTCAAGAATTGGTTTGAATAATGAGCGGTAGATGGGGAAAAATAACAAATTTACAATAATACTCAACATTCATACCAGTAAATCATGTAATGTAAGCTAGAGAAAAAAGAAAAGAAAACTAACAAATAAAATAGTGGAAATAAATTTGGTATTATTTTATTAATTAGGTGAATAACTCAGTCTTTATTTCATTCTTTGGTAGAGTTACACTGTAAATTATAATTGGTTAAAAATTTCATTGAAATCATGAACCGATCATTGTTAAACCATCATTGAAAACTTTGATGCACTGGATGCCCGTTTTATCCTAGTAACTAATAGGCAATTATGAAGTCCATTAAATAAAAGGAAACATAACACCACGTTTTATAATCGTATTACCTGCTTACTTACTCAGCAAGCGACAGGTGTCTTAGAACACGTCCCATAGTTACTTACGCTGATTAAATGCTATTGAACAAAACTTAAAGTAAGTAATGCATTTTACCAATGGAATTTGGATTGTTAACTTATACTTTTGTAGATTAAACAATACTTAGCAACTGGTCGTTGGTTACCAATTAAATTTCAGACCCTGATCATCATAAAGTTTTAAAGTGTGTGAAATAAGGAACCAAGTATATGATCCTGTATTACTGATTATGTTGAAAAACAAATTTACAATTAAAACAAACCAATCAACTTTTGAAATCATTTTTTTACTTTGTAGGTATTATTCTTTCCTGGTCGATGTTACTTCAGACACTACTGCAAACCGGGGAGCACTAGGGAGAAGTACTCGCTCACTAACTTATCAAGGGTCGGATTCAGGACTTTTGCGTCTCTCAGAAATCCTTGGCCCACTGGGGTGACACATTTTTTTACTTCAGTCATCTCTTTATATTAACGCAATGATCATCGGTTAAGCTGGGGATAACTATTTCACTCCAGACATATCTGAATCGAAGTCAGTGTTTGGTGATTATCATCTTAAAACTAAAGTCATCTCTCCATAACCTGTACATCAGCTATCTTTATTGCTTTGACAATAGGGTAATCCAATTTTGGCAAAATACTTTCGCTCAAAAGTTTATACGCACCAAGTGTATAATATACGGCTAAACTCGTTTTCAAAATGCATAGATGTTGTGTTTTTCTTATAACAGATGCTATTTATCTAATTAAGAATAGTCTCTGTATAGTATTACATTAAACGTCATTTATACTCTTATCAATATATGAATCGGACTAAAACGAACATTGGTTAAATTGACTTAATAACGGTAATAATTTCGACCATCTAACTATGGTTAGAGGAAAAGGCTTATATGGAAAGACATATATGAATGTCCAATTAGTGTACAGTATTTAGATAACGTAATATTATTTATTTAGCTTGAATAATAAGTTTGTGGCAATCACTAAAATTCTCAGATAAGTTGTTTAAAGAACTTGAGATAAACTCTTTTTCTTATTCTAGGTATGAGAGCTGGACTTATCTAATATTGTCTTGAGACTTGATGTTTTCTGTGTAACTAAAATCTATATAACACATTTTTAATGCTTCGGAGTTCGAAAATAGAAATAAATGTTCTCTTATTTATATGGAATGATAACAATAACAATTAGTCAAAACATTTCAATATTTATTACTAAGACCACAGAACAGAAAATAGGCAGATATGAACAGAACTAATGTAGCAAATTAAATTCTGTAGTAATCATTGTACATTTCGGAAATTTTCTAAAAGAACATATAGCATGTTCACAGTATTCTGTTTAGGGTTATGATGTAATCTGATGTGCAATTTCAAGATATTTACAGAAATGTTTCTTGAAGAAATGAGAATTGCCGTAGTGGGACTAAAGCTTTATATTTTCTAACCGATAATTAATATTACTGCTTGTTGTATTCATGACGAAAATTAATCATATGTTTTATACGTTAATATGTCTTCCATAAGTTGACTTTTAAAAATGATATCTTTTCTACATGACTGAATAATTCTCATTTTCAAAATGACAATATGGAAACATTGACACCTCAGTCATAACATAAATCTGTTTTCTGAGACGTTAATCAATATCACTTTCTAGACGACCAAATCAGAATTCTGACTATAATTTTCCTACTACGAGTATGTAACTTCCTCTGTAGTTTACTGTCCTTAACTTTGACTGATGATATGTTCTAATTGAGACGATCAACCTTCAGTTACTGAAGCTTAACTCATATCGATCCTCCAGCCATGATCCCGAAAGGCGAGTGCACCAATTAAGCTTCTATTCCAATTATTATAACTACAAATTAGTGTTATACAGACATATTAGACTATATTACATCATAAAATAGAAAATCATAGTTATGCACAATTAAGTTGAAAGTGGCAATGACAAAGCGTAAGCAATAAGCAACTGATTAATAATCGGTGTGTAATAATTAGACATTTAGTTATGGTTAATTAGTCCAATGGAAGCTTCAGTAAACTGAATACCAAAACATAATAATCCAATTGTTTTGCAATCATACAATAGGAATGTATATAATAACGGTTCATGAAATAATTTCATGAATTACTACTTCTATAATGGTCGTTCCGTTGCATCATAATCTGTCATTTAGATTAAAACATATATTTCATTAATCAAACTACTTTCTTGAATATTGACATCATACGCATAGGAGAAATTGAGAGTCAAAAGGATGATTAGATTTTTCCAAGTGTAACAGTAAATCATTTAACTCTAGTTTGAGATTAATAAATATCATGTATTACTTCCTTGTAAATATAAAATGTTTTTTCTGTTTAAATAAATATTTTTCGTCTGTTAGAGTTTAGTGAGTTCGTAGTAAGCCCATTTAACTATTGTATTATTTATCTGCTCACTGTAATTTAGACACTTGATCCACTATGTAATTTTCTGTGTGAGTCTAATTGAGCACATATCTGCATATCAATTTTTAATCTATCCTCTCATTGGTTGTAATACCAAAATAATCAATAATTTATCCATACTTGATTAACACTCACACACACACTCTTGCTGTCTCTGTGTGCTTGCTTCCTGTACGCTTGCAGATTTTACCAATCTTTAACAATAAACTATCTTTATAACTGGTGTTTAGGCTTTTTGAATAACCTCGAGTAAATCTATAATTCTACTAGGAGATTTAGCCTGTATTAAATACCCAGTTAATGGGATACTATTTATTGGAATCAGATATAGGGGATACTAGCCTCTACAAGTTAAACGTTTTAAGTAAAATGACGAATTCATCTTGAAAGATTTACACTTTTTAGCAAGATATAACAAAATATAAATAATTTACATTATTTTAACTTATCAATAAGTATTATCCTACAATTTTCATGTAGAATTGAAAAAATAGCTCATAAAAATTATTGTTTGCCTGGGCATAATATTTTCATTTTAAAAAAATAGTAGAAACAAAAAACAGAATATATCAACTAGAACAGGTAAAATAAATTAAGTAAACTAAATTTTTTGGGGGTTAAGAACCTGAAAATTCTGGGTTCCATGTCTAGTGGACTTCTAAGAGAGGATTTCTTTGAAGTTCTCCGCTAGAATGAAACGATTGTTTAATTCTGCTTGTTTTTTAGTCATTCCCTAACTGAGATCAATGCATGTTCACCTATAAATTAGAAAGATTTCTACAACACTCCGTACTCTAAAATATGTATTTTAAATAAAATTTAGTTTTCAACAGTCAATCAAATAATAATGGGGATTTGTGGAGATTGTAGTAATTTTAGCAGTTGAATTCATGAATCGATCTAAACCAGGTCATCCTACTTTGGACGAAACGGCGTCCGGTGCATTTAGAATATTTGACTGCATAATAATATGATCAAAGCAGTCTAAACGTTCTTAGTTTATTTTGCTCATCAGTTTTTAAATCTTTTCATTTGTACTGATCATACTGATGGTTGAACTTATTACAACTTGTCATAATCATTAAATTAAAATTGATTTAATTTATTGATGATTGAAGAAATTCACGACATCAAGTATTTTGAATTCTTTGGAAATACGTTAAAATGTATAAACTAATAGTATATGGAACATTTGTTGAATTATTCATGTAATGCAAGACAATTTATATTGATATTACTAAACTTATATGGCATACAATTTCTTGTTGAATGTTATACAAGTATAAAATAAGTAAATTTCCGATGAATTGGTGTTATTAAAGTTTATTTGTAATTCATATATTCTCAGGAAATGTTATGTCCCGATAAAAATAATGAATGGTAACTTTTGGGATCCATTATGGACCAATACTAAACGTATCTTTTTATTGCATAATTATTAAGTAACTAAACTATGCATATTCATATTCTTCTTACCATAAGCTTTATTTTGACTTATGAATTATTATTATTAATTTACTAACAAATATATTGTATGATCAGACATAAGTATTTGTGATAAGCTATGTCAGCGTAAAAAAGAAATATGATTGTTACTTACTTACGCATGTTACTCCTCGTGAAGTAGCATAGGCCGCTCACCAGCATTCTCCATCCAACCCTGTCCTGAGCAATCCTTTCTAGCTCCGCCCAGTTGTAATTCATCCTTTTCATATCTGCTTCTATTATCCGACGTAATGTGTTTTTTGGCCTTCCTCTTTTTCGCTTCCCTTCAGGATTCCAAGTTAGGGCTTGCCTCGTGATGCAGTTTGACGATTTGCGTAATGTATGTTCTATCCATTTCCATCGTCTTTTCCTAATTTCTTCTTCAGCTGGAAGTTGGTTTGTTCTCTCCCACAGAAGGCTGTTACTGATGGTATCCGGACAATGGATGTTGAGTATCTTGTGTAGACAGCTATTTATAAATACTTGTACTTTCTTGATTGTGGTTGTTGTAGTTCTTCAAGTTTCAGCTCCATACAGTAGAACTGCCTTGACGTTCGTATTGAAGATTCTGACTTTGATATTGGTTGAAAGTTGTTTTGAGTCCCATATGTTCTTCAATTGTAGGAATGCGACCCTTGCTTTGCCGATCCTCGCCTTTACGTCTGTATCGGATCCTCCTTGTTCATCGATGATGCTTCCCAGGTATGTGAAGGACTCTACATCTTCCAGAGTTTCGCCATCAAGGGTGATTGGATTGCTGTTCTCCGCTTTGAATTTGAGGACCTTAGTTTTCCCTTTGTGTATACTGAGACCTACTGATGCAGAGACTGCTGCTACACTGGCTGTCTTCATCTGCATCTGTTCGTGTGTACGTGATAGGAGGGCTAGGTCATCTGCGAAGTCCAAATCGTCTAATTGGTTCTGAGCTGTCCATTGTATTCCGTGTTTTCCTTCAGATGTTGAGGTCTTCATAATCCAGTCGACCAACAGAAGAAAGAGGAAGGGAGAGAGTAAACAGCCTTGTCTGACTCCGGTCCTTACTTGGAATGCATCTGTCAGCTGTCCTCCATGCACTACTTTGCACTGTAGTCCGTCGTACGAGTTCCCGATAATATTGACAATCTTCTCAGGAACTCCGTAGTGCCGAAGAAGTTTCCATAATGTCCTCCTATCTACACTGTCGAATGCCTCTTCATAATCAATGAAGTTGATGTATAGTGATGAATTCCACTCAACTGATTGTTCGACGATGATCCGTAGTGTTGCAATTTGGTCTGTGCACGACCGATCCTTACGGAATCCAGCTTGTTGATCTCGAAGTTGGGCGTCTACTGCATCCTTCATCCGGTTCAGCAACAATCTGTTGAAGACCTTCCCTGGTATTGACAGTAGTGTAATGCCTCTGTAGTTTTCACATTTGCTCAGATCTCCTTTCTTTGGAATCTTGACGAGGTGTTCTTCTTTCCAGTCCATCGGCACTTGTTCCTCCTCCCAAATCTTATGAATAAAAGATAAAGCATGCTTGTGGTCGCTTCGATGTCTGATTTTAGTGCTTCAGCTGGTATGTTGTCGGGTCCTGCTGCTTTCCCGTTCTTGATTTGTCTGACGGCCACTCTAATTTCTTCCGTAGTTGGTGGGTTGACATCTATAGGAAGATCTGTGTGTGCTGCTTCGATGTCCAGTGGATTCATTGGAGCCGGCCTATTCAGGAGTTCCTCGAAGTATTCTACCCATCTGTTCCGCTGTTGTTGAATTTCAGTGATTGGCTTGCCTTCTTTGTCTTTGATCGGCCTCTCTGGTTTACTGTATTTCCCTGCTAGTTTCTTCGTTGTATCGTGAAGCTGTTTCATATTTCCTTCTCTAGCAGCTTTTTCTGCCGTCGTTGCTAGTTCTTCAACGTATTTCTTCTTGTCGGCTCTAATGCTCCTCTTCACTTGTTTGTTTGCTTCTATATATTCAGCTTGTGCTTGGACTTTCTCTGCTCGTGTTCGGCTGTTGCTTATTGTTGCCTTCTTGTTCTTCCTTTCTTTGATCTTGTCCAGTATTTCTGTAGAGATCCATTCCTTATGATGGTATTTCTTTAGACCGAGAACCTCTTGACACGTTGAAGTTAATGCTTCCTTGATGCCTTTCCAGTTGTCCTCCATAGTAGTTTCTTCTTCTTTCAGTAGATCTTGTAAGGCTTGGAACCTGTTGTTGAGAGCTATCTTGAATTCATTGAGTTTGTCAGTATCTCGAAGGAAGGCTGTATTGAACCTTTGTATTGCTGTTTGTCCACTTGTCCAGTTCTTCTTTAGCTTCAGTTTTAAATTGGCTACAACTAGGTGGTGATCTGAAGCTACGTCAGCCACTCTCCTGGTTCTCACATCTTCCATTGTCTTTCGGAATTTTTGTTGATGCAAATATGATCTATTTGGTTCTCTGTAGTGTGGTCCGGTGAGATCCATATAGCCTTGTGTATACGCTTGTGTGGAAATATTGTGCCTCCTATGACGAATTTGTTGAATGCACACAAATTTGCAAATCTTTCTCCATTTTCGTTTCTTTCTCCCAGTCCATGTCGTCCCATAATATCTTCATATCCAGTGTTTTCTATTCCGACCTTGGCATTTAGATCTCCCACCAGGATGATGAGGTTCTTTCTTGGGCATTTCTCTATGATTGACTGCAGCCGCTCGTAGAACTGATCTTTAATGTCGTCGTTGCTATCATTAGTGGGTGCATAACATTGGATAATATTCATTAAGATCCCCTCCTTCTTTGTTTTGAATGATGCTTTGATGATTCTGGAACGGTGAGATTCCCATCCTACAAGTGCATTTCGTGCTACTTTGGACAGCATAAGAGCGACTCCCTGAGTGTGTGGAGCATTGTCCTCTTCGTGACCGGAGTATAGCAGCATCTCTCACGTAGCTAGCTTTTTCTGTCCAGCTTGGGTCCAGTGGGTTTCGCTGATTCCCAGTATATATCTTAAACTGAACTAAAGATCCATTTTCTAATCAGAGATAAAAATACATTGTCTACTTAATGATTAACTATTTCCTCATTCATTATATATACTAACTACTAGTTAGATAATAAGCAGTTATGTCTTTTCATATTACAATCATATATCAAAGTGACATATTTAGTTTACTAATCATAGTAAAATAGATGTTGAATTGTCAGATACTCATCTTCGTAAATCTAAATTCTTTTAAGACATGTTACGGAGTGCAAGTATAGTTATAGTTTAGCAAGATTTCTCTAAATGTTATTAATTTACTTGCATTTATCTAGTTTCATAATCACTTTTTACCATAAGTACTTGAATAACCCGAATGTTTGATTTAAATTAATTATATTCTGATGGTGTATAGGTTCTCTAGATAAATGTAGCCACAGTATTTGTAATTGTATTTTTGATATACATTAAGTTGTGCTATAGTAGATTAGTCTACATAGGACTTAAACTAAACTAACTGTTCTCAAATATAAAGTGCCTTAGAATGAGTTTCAATGTTATTTATCTGTAATCATATAATGTAAAACACAGGTACAACAACATACCAAAATGACAACAAATAACATATTATTTATCAGTTGTCATGTTTAGTTAGTTAACAAGACAGCAAACCCAAACGTGGTAAATAATTTACGATGATTCTTCCATCATCGACTTGGTAAACACTTAGAACAGGATATACTGTATATGCCAAATGTTTAGATTTTATACGGTTGTTTTCAACAATGGTGCAAATACTACTTACATTGCCATTTCGATCAGCTTGATTATTATTATTACCATCATTCCCATCGGGTCGATTATCAACATACTGATTCTTTGTCTTAAATTCATTATTTCTATTATCAACACTTATATCCGTCGTACCAAATCGTCCCTTTAATTCATCAGCTAACATTTCTGTAGTGGCTTTCTCGTGCTAAAAAAAAACAAAATAAGTATTAAAAAGTTGGATACAAAGAAATCATGATGTATTTAGACATATTCTGTGAACGGTCATAAAATCGACCTGCAGTTTCGTTAAGTGATAAGTGCTGATTTAATGTTTGAAGATAGAATTCCTAATCCCTTCCCTCTCATCTTTCTCGTATCCTCGTTGAAAGCAAGAGTTTTGTGTGTCTTGTCCCACAGGAATAGGAAGTTGTTTTAAAAAATGTTATTTTTAGAACGTAATAAACAAACTGACAAGTCATCAAGCATAAGTATATGTCGGTCTTATTCAGGGTTCGACTATAAATAACTGCTGAGGAATCCCATACTAGGACGAAACGGCCGTCCAGTGCTTCCAGGTTTTCCATGGTGGTCTAGCTTCAATTGGCTCATGATTTCAACTTGTGAAATTTATAAATAACTTATTAAATAATTTAATTATGAACGATGCTTAACATTTTAGCGTACAAGATTTAGATGATAATTAGCCATGAGCAATATAATTGTGTACTTATTTTTCTATCTAGGGACACTTATAAATGAGGGTCATTTATAATTTGAACTGTTGTGTCATAGTACGTTCGGTTTACTAAACATAGTCTTCGCTGATAAATAATAGGTGTGCTTTTTAAATGTGTGAAAGTCTTACTCTGTTTTCGGATAATCACGCTTGAAGTTCGAATTGTTAACTTTCAGCAGTCTAACTGTTTCATGCAGATTGTGGGACCTGTATTTTTTTGTATGACTATGAGTAAGCACGTTTTATACGATGTTTTGAAAAATGCATTTATTAAAACAAATAAATAATTTGAGAACACCTTGTAATTAACATTTAAATCCTTCATAAGTAATAATACCATGCTTTATATTTCTTTTTAATCTATTTTTCTATTTTATTGAAGTCATGTACTTAGTACTTATTTACGTATCAGGCTTTCACTTATTATAATTATTGTTTTTATTACTATTAGCTTTATTCAGTATCATATTTTTGATAAAATAAAGAATTCTCAGCGCAAGGTATTTCAACAATTTTCCGTTTCATACATTTTGATCGATCCTGACGATAAATATTGAGTGATCACCAATTAGATGTTAGCAGTTCAGGAATCGATATCTGAATAATGAACATTCATTTTGGTGTATATTGCCAGTAACCACAATGTATCTGATTGAACTTTTTCATAACTTATTCAGAGAAAATTCGTGAAATTTTCAAAAATGCACCTGAATAGGTTGTGCAATTAATTGAAATAATGATCTGTTGAAACACATAAGGCGGATAACTTGTTGAAATATCTGGATGGCAGGAACAGGTAGCCCAGATATTCAAGCGGAGTCAATGACAGTATCCACTATCTCAAACTGAATTAAGTAAAGTGGAATTCTAACCTGTTGTTAACTTTTTGAAAATCAAGTTCTCTTAAATGTTGTTTCACTTCTCCATCTATATTTCTTTCACATTGTATACATTCAGAAATTGAATACATATCATTTATATAATGTTTCTATACTTACTTGAATTAATTTTATCTCATTATTGATAGCATCTAATTGATTTTTTAACATATACGCTAAAGATTGTGGATCTGTAGTTGAATCAGTTGCACTTTCTTGAATATTGTGCTGAGATATGGCGTTTGGTAGTTGTTTCATTTTCATAAAATTGACTATATCATTCAAGGACAATTGATTAACAGTATCATGATTTAATTGTAATGATGGATCATTGAAATTCATTACATTTTGTTGAGTTAACATTTCCTGTAATTCATTCGACTGATAAAATTTATTGTTATTATTATCACTAATTGTATTGGGAAGTGATTGAATATTGTGTAACTCAACATCAGGATTCATTTCTATTGGTTGATCCTTATGGATTGAGATGTAAGAAAAACAAAGAAAAACAGTATTAATGATCAATAATGTATGATTTCATCGTGATCATTTGTATATATATTCTGTAAATCCCAAAAAAGTATGTATTATTGTTCTCCGATAATGCAAAAATCAACCCAGTAATGTTAAATGAGCAAAAGAATTCATTTGTGAAAATGGACATTATTTTGTGTATTTTTCCAACAAGACAACCTGTCACTACAAAAAGATATTTCTTGGTGTTATGAACGTCTACTCGCGTTTAAACCTAAAGTACACTTATTATTACACATGAGATTTACTAAAACATTTTACAATCTGGTATTGAACTTATTTTCTTTAGATCAGTGAGTCGGAATCTATCAGTTCACATAATCAATATCGGTAAATTTGTGATGTCGTTCCGCTGACAGTCAATGACATCCAATTCTCGGGAACTAAAAACACCAACAATTTTTCGGTTTCTAATATTTTCATACCCTCAGCAAATGTCGTGTTTTTATTATCAAAAAGACTGTTAAATTTCCAGGAAGCACGTTTGTTGAAACTACGATTTATCTTTCATTTTGAATTTATATTCATTTAGACATCTCAATAAACAACTTGGTTTTTATGATGATATGTATAATTGCAAGGCCATAACTTAAAGTTATTTTCTTTTTGAATCGCTTCTTTGAATCTTTCCATTGATGTTTAGGACTGCAATTGATCAGCCACTTATTGTCCTTTGTGCATCCTGCTTCGATATTGTCTCAAATCGTAATACAAAATGAATTAAAACTCCACGCTACTGCACAAGGTAATGGCTATCAGGACTCAGTAGCTAAATGGATCATGCAATGGTGTTTGATACGAACGGCACTGAGTTCGAGTTCCTGAGTGAACATCAACTCTGGGCTGAAGTGACATCCAGTTAACGGATCCAAATAAGTGCGAACCGCGCGTACTGGATTCCACTGCCAGCCACCGCCCATCTTTGCTTATAAACGCTATTTGTTTTAACTATTAGTCGTGTTTATTGTTATTATGTTGTGTTCTAGAAAAATTTATTTGAATTGGTTATCAGGATAGGTTATACACAGACTCTTCCGTATTAAATGAAGGTTTCACGAATATGCATTTAAATGTATTTGAAGAGTTGCCTAGGATTGTTTTACTTATGTAAGAAGATTAGTTTTTGTGTAACAGCACTACATTTTAAAAATTTCATGCTGTATTTGAAGAACTCAGAGCTCTAGATAGATTCAAAAAACATTATCACTTAAGGCTGTAAAGACACAAGTGCATGATTACTGTCATAAATGAGCTCCAATTGGTTTGTGTTCAGACACACATTACAGGAGGCTTTAGTGGAGTAAGAATATGAGTGCAAATCATACAAACCTACAGTCTGATTTAAGTTTGCCAAATATCGTTGGCTGGTATTAGCAGAAACATCAGTAAGACATTTTCTTTTCAGATATTCTTTTCGAATTGATTATAAAATTCTTTAACTTCTTTTCCGTAAGGCAGATTTATTAAATTGACATAAAACACAAATATATTTCTTACAATCTAAATATTTACCCTGTACATCTTAATCCATGAAACTTCTTGTAAGAAATCTACATTTTTCCTAATAAAAATTGAGAAGTATCCTTTATCAGCCTGTAAACTGTAATTAGTCCATTCTATGGTAACCAATTATATCATAGGGTGTTTAGGAATTATTACGTTACTCAATTTGATTAATTTTTACAAAATTTTTCTATTCATTTTATATGATCAATCTCTTTCACATGCTGGTATACATTTCAAATACGCTCCTCTAATTTACATCATTTAGGCTAGATAAAGTCTTTCTTTAATTCAATAAAAATCATGATTATGCTTGAGTCAACAAATTTTTCTTGCTGATAACTGATTACATGTATGAATATTAAATGTATACACTAATTTTCAATCATCATAGATATGCAGTATAAAGCCTATATTAAAATAACTTGGAGAGCTAAACACCTACCGAATTATTATCAGCTTGTGAATAGATCCATGTATTAGTGATCAATCTTGAAATTAAGTCTATTGGACTACTTTGCTCAGTTCCATATTTTTCCACTACACTTGAAGGACATACTATAATTAAAATAAAGAATAAAAATTTAAATTAAATTATATAGGAATGAAATTAGATGACAACTTATAAGTGAACAATATTATTGATAACTAGGTTACCAAGCTTTAATTTACAAAAAATTAAAAGTAAATAATAACAAGGAAGTAAGGTACCCAACTAATCATAATAAATGAAGTAAAAAGTACAAATCGATAGTAAGATGACAGGTGTACTAGTCTTAATAAGTTGAATAAAAATAGCATAATTTAATATTGTAAAATAAAAAGTAGGTAAAAACTTGAGAAAATAAGTTCAATAAATACTACAACGAAACAGAAAGTATAATATTACTGACAATGAAGGTTATCAATCAAGATCAATATAAACTCCAATTTTTCCTTATTTATTCAAACCTGGTTAAAGGAGTTAAAACATGATAAAACATTATATGCTTGAATTCTGTTTATTTCGGTAAATCATATACTCATAGTAGCTTTTTCTACATATAAGTTTCTGTAGTTTCAAATCAGTTAAGACGTCGATTCAACCTATTTGGTAGACAAATATAGGACGTGTTATTTTACATTATAGCACTCTTTCACTTTCTTTTTTATACATCATATTCGCATAAATGAGGATTTGCTGTGGAATGCATAGGACCGCCTACATATTTATTTGCCATAACTTCTGAAAATTATACTCCGTTGTGGATTTATGGTATTATAGGTTGTTTGGTCGACGGAATATAGGAATAATCGTATGGATATCCACAATAAATTACTAAAAGAACTGATGTCTCAAGGTAGCCAACAGAAATAATATCATTTGTTTCGCATATACAGTGGGTTGGTTCAGTTCAGTAATAACCTTAGAAACGGCTACAGAGTCTGTTGAACTAAAAGCTTATAATTGCAAACGGAACTCTTAATTTAACAAAACTTTAATCTTAGAACCTGTTACTACAAGAACTACATTACGTATAATGACATTTTTCCTTAAATATTACATCATTCTCTTGCTTCATTGTAAGTTCTCATGAACATCTCACAAAGTATGACTACGCAAAAGTTACTTCAGAGTGGTTTATGGTAAAGCCTAACTTGGATTAGTTCAGGAGTTATTATAAAATATAAATATATTTGAAGTTATGAAAAAAGTTACTTAACTATTGGTACAATCATAAAAAAGCTGTATCAAGTTAGTTGTGTTTCCAATTAGACCGTAACTCAATCATAATTATTCAAATCAATAACAAGTTTTTCATCGTTACTAATAAAAAAATCCGTGTACTTTGCTTTCACGAATCCTTTCGGTTTTATCAGCGATAATAGTAAGAACAATGTTTTCTGGTGCCTTATATCTCTGGCACAGACATAAACGTTGTAATCTTCAAGATTTGAGTTATAGCTTATTCGGTGGTTTATGAAGAATTGAGCGTAGTTTGTCACGAAATGAGTTTAGCTCGGGTAATGTAGTAGATTTATCCATCAGATTGAAAAAATGAATGTCTTAAGCTCTCTCGTTTTAAACAGAGCCTCTGCTTCAATATCTCTCTTATATGTACCAACAGATAAACAAGAATCATTATGTATTATTCAACAAACTGTTGACTACTGATATACTTGTTCTGAAAGTTTCTTTTCTCTTTGAAAATGTAGACATGGTTTCGTTTTTATGTTAAACAAAATGCTATTAAAATTATCCTTAGTAATTTTAAAGAAATACATCTGTTCCAATGGACAGTGTGACATTTAATCAATTTGACAGTTAGAATATTTCAATAGAATACAATACAAAATTATAGTGAAAATTCCCATTTTGCCATTTGGTAAATAAAGAAGGAACGAATTGAGCGAATAAATTTCTTTTCAATTAGTTTTTCATCATGGCTCTACACTAATATATATATACGTTTTACAATAATAATATAATGCTCATCGAGTGGATACGTTACGTAATAATTACATAATGATCTTTAAATTAACATTCAGTAATTGGAAGAGAGAGGATTATTAATATTCAAAGTAATCAAGAAGTTGCTATGTTGCGTAATATAAGAAACAAAGAAGGAATAGAATTTTACCGGATGGTCAATAGGATAGTAGTTACGTAAGAATCAAGAGATGAATGTTGAGAAGTTATAAGGCTCAAAAGCGATAAAAACAAAATTACAAAAACTTTAAAATAAAAATGGAAGAAGTGTGAAAAATAGTTCTTCTGACGGAAATGTTATACTGAAGGCCAGGGTAGAGAAAGTGGTTGTACAAATTTCTTTTGGATGCAAAAGTCAGGTTTGTGAACATGGATTGCGATGGCTTCCGCAATGTGCAAAAGGCGCACTCGTAAACCATGTGGTAGATTTGATGGAATATTGTAGATAACCTTAAAAGCTTTATTCACTTCGACTTGCTGACCTGTGTCAACCAAGTGAGAGAAGATAGAACTTTTAATCACTTTCACCTGTCCTTTGCTTAGCCATGTTGGATGATGTTCTGTAATGCGGTGACGGACCTGTCGAATTGTACGCCCTATGTAACTGGCTCCACAGGAGCAGTTGAAACGATAGATACACATAGATTTGGCGAATTCTGGCAGTCTGTCTTTAATGGATGTTCTTATTTTCGGGTGGTTGTAGAAGATGACATTTAATTTGGCAGCATTAAATGTCTTTTGTACCGCTCTTCTTAGTTTCTGAGTCATGACTTCTTCAATGGTGTCATTTATGAATTGTAGTTTTATGAATAATACTTTCTTGGGGACAGTGGGTATTTTTGTCCTTGTTTTCTTCTCCATCATATGTTTTTCAATGAATTTCATCGGAACCTACTCAGTCTGAATGGGTACCCAATCCAGGACGCGCGTTTCGTCCTAGTTGGGATTCGTCAGCTGGATGTACCTGCATCTCGGAGTTGATATTCACTCCGGGATCCGAACCCAGTACCGTTCGCTTCAAACGCCATCGCGTTATCCACTTAGCTACCGAGTCCTGATAGTCACTTGCTTGCGCAATGGGGTGAAGTCTAAATTCACTTGGTATTGTTTACTTGAGTCTTCCCATTGATGTTCAGGACTGCAATTGATGTCTCATATTGGCACATGTACATAATATGCGTATTGCCTCGATATCGCCTTAATCCATCGTTGCTTGGAATTCTTGTGAATTAAGGCAATATCGAGGTAATACGCACAGTATTTACATGTGCAATATGAGACATAAATTTTAGTCCTGAACATCAATGGGAAGATTCCAGTAAACAATACTAAGTGAATTGTTTTGCTAACGTTTCCTAACCAAGCGACACGATTTATGATTGAACTTAAGCTCAGAAGTATGATTTAATTTATGATTGTTTATTTTTTTACTGAAACTGTTGATATTATACTTTAGCAATCACATCAGTTGGTGAATGCATGCTGTGGAAATACTTTTCAGGGTGTACATTCAACTCAGTCAATTAATGTAGACCTTACATATATATCATTGATATTATTTCAAAAAAGAAATATCTACATTACATTTTACCTGAATTTTGTATAGAAATATCTGTATTATGCTGTTGTTGCTGTCGTTCCATGTTAACTTTCTCAGATGATGCTTTGGCTAATGCCATAATAGTAGCCTGAGCTGCAGAAGTTGATGTATGAGCAATTGCAAGTTGAGCTTGTGAATAACGAAAAGCAGCTGCTAATTCAGACAATTTCTGTCTTAATAACATTGATTCTGTTATATTTGTTTCACGTTCTCTTATTGCTGTTTCTAATGCTCTCTTTATTTGTTCAATTTGATTATTTAAATTTTGTTTTTGTTCTAAAGCCAACATTCTTTCTTGTAAATGATTTTGTAAGCGTTCATTAGATTCTTGTAATAATTTATCAACCTTTAAATATAAATAATATAGATATACAATTCTAACTATTAACTTTTATATTAATTATTAATTAAAATAATGTCAAAAACTAGGTTTTCTATTAATTTTTTCTATACCATGATTGAGAACTGTTAAGGAATCCCATACTAGGATTAAATGGCCTTTCAGTGCCTCCACGTTTCTTAATGATGGTCTGGCTATGATCGACTCATGAATTCAACTGTTACTTCCCACATTGTATCTTTAGGCACTAATGTAAAATGATTTGAAGAAAAGAATTGCAAATAATTACACTTATTGTATACATTAGAGATTAACGATATCAAATACGTAAAATTCCTTTGAAAATAAGATAATTCGTCAAAAACATATCAGGAAAATATGTATCCCAGCATTTATCTCAGTGAGAAAGTGGGAATCTTTTTTTTGTCTGGATTTTGATATTCAATGAAAATAAAAATGTTATCAACCTAATTAATGTTCCATCGTTTAAAAGTGAATTATAATGTACCAAAAATTGAAATTTTTCATCTATGTGAACTTATTCCCTAAATCTGATAGTTCACTAGACTCTTTTCCCGAAGATGCGTTAGCGTACCTCATATGTTCAATCACCACCTGGATCAAACCACGAGATCATTATATATTTTTGGAGTTCAAGAAGCAGCCCTCTTCTCATAACCAATTTTGATGCCTAAACAGGAACTCTAGCTCAGTAATTATTACTTTGAGTTCGAATTTTTTCTGTATTCAGCTTTGATTCCTTAGATTGAATAGCCTCATTCCTATGATTCAATTATAAACATCCATTCTAGGAAGGGCCACAAAGCTGAAAGAATAGCCTTTAATGTTTATAAGATTGTGAATCATAAGATGAAAAATGTGTTGAATATTCCCCTTGAATTTATATTTTAAATATAATTCAACATATCAAAACTATTGTAACGCACTAAACATAATAAACAGATAAACTGTTTCTGTAAAATAATCATACGAGTACTTTTTTTTACATGGAACTAATGATAAAATACCAATAATTTCAGCACAAAGTAACACTGAATTGTAACCGATAACATTCCGTTTAATCCATAGTTTTTATAAAAATCACGTTGCGAGATAAACAATAATCCAAATAATCTATATATCTCGATTTTGTATTAAATAACATTTGTAAATAAATTCATTTCAAATATGCATTGTGATATACTGACTGTCCTACAAATTAAACATTCACAGCTTTGTCACTTTTCGTCATATAACATAGTGGATAAGAGTATATTTTTTAGGAATGCATAACTAATAAGAACCTTATAAAAATTACTATCTCATATGTAACCAGATTGCATTAATCAGTTAAAATATAGATATTTTACTAAGTTAAATCTAATCGAAAATTGAAGGAGATAAAAAAATATATTCTATCACAAAGTTAAATAGTTCAGTCAAAATCCACATATATTTTGATTGATCACAATTGTTAACCTACTGTTCCCGATAAACGAGTTATGTGTTCTTCATTAATGATTTCTCTTTCTTTTGCACGCGTTAATTCTTGTCTAACTTCTTCTATTTCATCTGTTAATTCTTTTACCTGATCTTCATAAGAATTCCATTCTTGTTGAAAGATATTTCGAGAATAATTATTCCTTTTTGATGCTGATCTAATAGATTTGATTTTTCGGACACGTTTGCTCTCAAGGCCAGTGATTGAATCAGTCTCTTGTTCCATTTCCCCCTCAGATATTTGTTTATTCATTAATTCAGGATTACTGTCGTCAGAGCAAGCATTTTCTTCATTGTATTGAGTTCCAGCAATAACATCCTCCTCCTCATCATCATCATCAATGTCAGCTTCATCATGAATGTATTTAGTTTTTAAAGATTTAGTCAAGAAATGATTTGACAATGATCTACTCTGCAACAGATCGTCTTCCATTGTATCTAATTTAATTTGTAGTGTTCGAACTTTTTCTTCTTGCTGAATAGAAAAAATGAAATGAACGATTAGTCCATGATTATGTAACACTGTTACAACCTAAGTTAAATATCGGAATTTCGTAACCTGAATTCTAGTCTAGAATTTACGTGTAACTACAACATTTGAATCGAAAAAAAACCCAGAAAAAAACATTGTTAAATAAAAACGAAATTCCATTGAAATTATAAACCGATCACTGTAAGAACTCAAGTCGCCCCAAAGCCAAACAGAAAAATAAAAATTGACAAAATCGAGATTTTACAGGTGTCAATCTGTAGATGTTGTTGCAACTATTTATTAGAGAATAATAAAATAAAACACAATTGTATGAACGAAGAATATTCTTTTCAATAATTTCTCATCAAGTTCTACCATTATAAATCCAAATTAATAATCGATAAAATTGGCCAGATTTAAGGCAGAGTACATCATTTGGAAATTGTAATATGTGAATCAGGAATTGTTTGTTATATAAAACAAAATCGTTAATGTTGGGATGACTAATATCAAGTGTTAACTTGAATCAGTTTATAGTGAAATGAAATTGTGAGATAAATTATCAGAATAAATATGATCAACATGGGGTAAGAGAGAGAAATAATATGTAAAATAATTAGGTTAAATATAGTAGATTCAGGGGTGGATATTGAATAAATTCCTCAAAAAAGGGTTATCAAGTGTAAAGACAATAATAATAATAATAATAATAATAATAGTAATAATAACAGTGATAATAATAACAATAAGTTTGGGTCATAAAATGAACATTAATCAGATTACGTCACCATATTATAAGATTGATTATTAGCTAGTTGGCCAAGGTAAAAGAAGTGGCTGAACATACTTCTTTTGGATACAAAGCTCTGGCTTTTTGATCCGAATAGCAATTGTTTCAGCCGTCTGTAGGATTCGCAGTCTGACGGAATTAGGTAGACTCCTGTTGACACGATAGATTATTGCGAAAGATTGCTCCATGTTGGCTGTATGTCCTGTTTGGACTAAATGGTCTAAGATGTAGCTGTTAACAGTTTTGACAACACCTTTGCTTAACCACACAGGTAGGTGCTCACGAAAATCATGCATTTTTATTTCTAACCAATTGACTAATCAATGGTTAACTGATTGTTGATTACACAGAGACTGCATGTGATTTAGACTAGACTATTGATCGACTTTTGATATACTTGTCAGAAACATATATATATATAATGATATATTATTAATTCTTTGAATGAACAAACAAAATGTTATAGTTTTGAAAAATAATGTCATTTGACTCTCATTCTTTTGTTTAGATGAATAATTTGTTTTGAAATTTTCATCCATTCTAACTCTGAGTTCATTTATAATACACATCCATTGATTGAACATAAAACCTCCAAGTGTTGTTGGTTAAAAGACTTTCTTAGATAACGTAGTTAAAATTTCATAGTTCTAATTTTTATTGTTAAACAGTTCATGATACAGCACAAATATTGTTTTAAAAGTTTTGTAAAATTTCTATTCCTATCAATATAACCGAACTCTATCAGACGTTACTAAAAACTAAATCTTGAAAAGTTAATCTCGAAGCTGGTTACTAGTAGATAAGCAATTATTATATTAGAGACCTATGAAGATGTTCCTTTCACTGATTGGAATATTTAATTTATGAACTTTTTTTTAACTAAATCAGGTAATGAATCAACAAACAAACTGTAATAATAAATGAACTAAGTATGGTCTAGCTGTACAGATCTCAAGTTAGAACCTTATTCCAAACATCCTAACTACAAGTTACTTGATTTTAAGCTAATGCATATTGATTAACGAATTCATAAGTTTAACCTATTAGCATTTACACGATAGTTCGGGAATTTAGTAACGTTTATATACATTGAGGTACGTAAACATTTTCATCCATAAGCAATTTAAAACAATCTGACGTTCTTTTATACTTTGGTAATTTGGAATGTCTCACTGTAAAAATTATGTTATCTCACTAACCATTTTCTTCTTTTCAATCAATGAGTTTCTCAATTATGCATAAAAGAAAATTTATTAATCACTACTATTTGGAAATTCATTATTTCCTAAGAAATAAATCAGGATGGTTCAAAGAAGAATTTTCTTAAAATCAAGATCGATAATTTCAAACTGTTCGATTCGAATTAAGCTTACCCCTCTTCAACTCGTATTCTTACTGGCCAATTCTCACAAGCACTTCTACACTTATCACGAATACTCACTAGTCTTTCTCATTATATTATTGCTGACTGAGCATGAAAAATAAACGACAGGATTTCTGTTAGCCTTTTTCAAAAAAAAGAATGTAAATAACTTTGAAATTTTACCTGTTTAAGTTGCGTTGATTTGAAGGCTAATTCAGCTCGTAATTTGTCAGTCATATCTTGGGCTGCATTTAATTCACGCTGAGTAACTAAATATCTTTGTTCTAAACTCGTAGCTAGGGACTCTTGATCAGTTCTTCGTTGCTCAGATTCACGTAGTTCACGAGTAAGCCTTTCAATCTAAAATGAATTAATTAAAACATTTTTGTGATATATATAAGTATCCATATATAACCTAAATAATAAATATCTGTCTAAAAATCAACTCTCAAACCGAGAACAAAATATTTCGTGCATTTTGAATCCAGAAAAACTAAGGTTGCTCAACTGCGAACTGAAAGACGTTTAGGCGATCCAGAGGACGAAAAGGTAAATGCTTATAGTGGTACTATGATTATCTGCATTTTAATCGTTTTAACTGTAAAATAAGCACTCAAATCTGTCTCAGTTTAGAGATAGCTGGCTATTTGTTGGTTGTATGATGAGTGAAAATACTCAGTACGAACAATATATTTTCCGTACGCTTTTAAAATTGGGAGCTAATAAATTCTAAATCTTGTGTATTATTCCGAACATCCTGTTTTGTCAGACCATCTACAAAAATATGTTGCAGTTTGTATTGGTGTTAATGTCATAAGGAAAATTTTAGTTCGGTCTTGAGAAACAAATCATGAAGTTACTATCAGTCTTTTTATGGATTCCAAAGTGGTTTCCGAAACGATGCTAACTGTTGGCTTTCATAAAAAGTATATTTTTTGTCATAGAATAAGAATAAATTTAACTTAGACTTTTTGGATGACTAAAGGAGTAAAAGTAACCGAATTTCACGCAAAGACGTTGTATCAATACCACAAAGATTATTTTTGGAGCCCGAATAATGTTTTTGATATATGGTGGATTAAACGAGCTATTATTGATCAGATTATATTTATTTTAGTCAATGAATCGTCCGTAGTCAGGGTATGAGAATTTTGTGACCTTGTATCTGACTCCAGTTAGATCCTACGATGATTGTTGTCGAAATATACATGCCGCAAACCCTCGTATATTTTCATCGACTCGTGTTAGTGAATCGCGGAATTAAACAAGTCAAATACGAAAATGGATTTCAATTACGTATATTTTATACAATTGTTAATCGGAACAGACAATTAGGGATGCGATGAAAAGGAAGCAAAGTGAAATGAAACGATGCATAGTGACGAAGGCGAGTTAACCAACTCAATGTAATCAAGCATTCATCGATAGTTATAGTCAAACAAAAATACATTACAGACACATGATGAATAGGGTAAGTAATTAACACATATAAAAAAACAGCCAGGGTTAATAAGCGAATAAGTGACAGGGTAAAAATGTGGCTTGAGAAAAATGAATAGACTGGTCTGCTTATAGTCTAGAATGACCTATGTAGTCTTGACAATAAGATTCAATCTCACACTTCTTTACAAGTCATTTGTATGGAGTGAAATGTAATGAGTCCTCTAAACAGTATATCTTCATTCCTATCCATTCTCTTCAATCAAGTTATTATTTATCTCGTGAGCCCTGCTATGTATCATTAGGTTGAAGTGAACTACAAGAACTTGACTGACAAATTCACGAACTACTTAGATCCTCCAAATAAATTCCATTATGTAATAGAAAGTTATATTTATTCGATAAACGTCAAAAATTTTAGAGGAAAAAAATCAATTAGTGAGAGACTTTCGGAAGTGCATTGAGATTAGAATCTTTAAAAAACTGGCAAAAAATGTATCGTTTGTAAAGTTATTATTCAAAGAGCATCTTTCTGATTATTTTTAAAGGTGGATTGATCAATAAAACGAAGTGATAATCCAAAGATGATAGTCCAGGGATTTTGATTTCTGAAACCAAATCATTACAAAACTATAATCTAATAATCATATCGTCTACACTAATTAAGCCGCAAGTAGTAAGCACCTAAATTAACAAATTTTGATTGCAGCCATGAATTAAACTCAGATAAAATTGAAAATAAAGATTATTTCTTGAATCTCTGAATTGCGAACAAACGGTGTATGGAAACACATAAACAGTTATTAGACAAACCATTTATTTACATCAAATGAACAGTGGCTAACAATATAATCCAATTTAAGACTCGTCAGTTGGATTTACCTGTTGATTTTTACACTGAGACTCAAACCTTGTACCCTTAAACAAATACGTCAAAATGTTGTACATTGAGCTATTGAATCCGTATGATCACAGGTTAATGCAACGGGTGCAAATGTCATTTTTACGGTCTTTATAATTTCATGTCATTGATGTCAAGGATTTCAAAATACGTCAAAGTTCCCAGAACTACTACTTTAAGCTATAATTTTATGATGTTGGATAAACAGACTAATTCATTTAAAAAGTTTATACTTCTATTATGAAAGTTGAATGATATTTGAATAATTTACTTGGTCATTAGCATGATTTAATTCACTTTGTGCTAAACTCAATGAATTTGAGCTTTCTCTTGATCGACTTGTCAGTTCAATCACTTGCCTTCGAGCAACGAGTAATTCAGATGCCTATAAAATATATAAGACAAATATAATGAATCATTAGGATATTTTTAAAAATAATATTACAAATATATTTTTCACCCTTTTATATTATACAATAGGTTCTTTTTTGAAGTTAATTTTTAAAAAAGTATGGTATGTATATATTTCACTCATTTAACAAGTCCTAAACCACTTGTAATCTAGCAAACTTTGTGTATTGTACGAGATTCTCATACTATCTATCATCACAGAGTTAGGGTCCTATGTATTCTAAGAGTAAAATTAACAGTAAATTTTATATGACAATTATATTTGTGAAAAATTTCGATAATGCAATGAGAAGACGAAGTTTATCAGAATTATGTGATATATTTGCTCAATACATTTCGAATAATCTGTTCAAATAAGATCATAGGATAGACAGACATCATCCTCTATTGCGAAACATTTGATTGAGGTTGGTCATAAGTTTGAAATCAAGTCAGCATTTGTAGTGTTATACAAAAGCCTTCAAAGACGTATACTGCGGCTTATTGAAGCCATGGCTATATGGAAATTGAAATCCCCTTTATGCGTTCAAAAACAATTTGTCCTTACACTTAACCTACCCTGGTAGTACTGATTTATTATCCAGAGTGGTAATCACATTTGTTTTTGTGTACTTTAATATTATTATTCTTTCTTTGTTATGGCTTACCTTTAACCTGTCTAGTTGACCTCTTAATTTAGATATAGAAATATCTTAACAAGTATATGTGTGATCAGATTGTTCGAAATGTATTGCGCAAATATATCATATAATAGTGATAAACTTCGTCTTCTTCAAAAGAGACAGTATTAAACTTATTGTTACCCTGGTAATCCATTTTTTAAATTTTATTTTTATTGTTCTTTGGTTATTTGTGTTATTTTATTCATTTATTTATTTTAAAATATTTATTTTGTGTTATATTCCTCCCCTATTACCAAATTCTTAAATCAACTTTTCATTCACACATTTCCGCCCACTTACCCTCTTAAATTATGTTAACTTTTCAAACTCTATTCAATTATTACGTAACCTATCTTATCACTGTTCAACTCCATGAATCCTTCACTGCCTTAAAAATTATCACGCAATTTATGAACTCCACTCAACTACTACATCACCCATCCTGAGTTGTTTCCTTAATTCTAACACCGATCAACCTCGGACCTGTTCCTACATATATATATATATATATATATATTATTATTATTATTATTATTATTATTATTGTAAATGTTTGTCATTCCAATTATTTACAATCATTTATGTCAATTGTTTCACACAATTTCGTATCTCAGTGTAAAATTCTGTTACATATTTGGTTGTAAGCAGCTGACGAGAAACCTCGAACTATTATGAATTCATATTATTCTGCATGAATACTTGTTCTTGCTTTATTTAAATTCATTAAATGAACTTATTGAATGAAATCTTCTCATTGTATTATCGAAATTTATCAAAGGAACTAATTGTTTTAAATATTTGTGATAAGTGTTTATTTTAAACTTACAGAAATCAGTGTATAATGTAATGAAAGTGGATAGTGATTTGATAAGTTGAAAATATAAAATTTATTAAGATATAATTCTTTTAAATAAAACTTTATTTAAAATAAAAAGTGAATATTTGATATAAATAATGAATGAATTAAGTGAAATAAATCACTAATTGCTTGTAATAAAATAATAACAATTGTTGAATTACCCCTCTCTATGTATATATACTTAAATAAACATGCAGATTAGTAAATGGAATGTAACGTAATCATTTGTGCAATGTCCAAGCTAAAGTGCAACCAAGAACTTGATCTTTCTAAATACAACCAGTATATCAGCGTAATATGTTTTCTTGATGGTTGCTTTTAGCTTCTATCTCAAAATTGTAATGTTTGATTCTTTTCTGAATAGTGGAGAGATATAGACTATTTTCTTTGCAGAAGAATTAAGAACTAATGTTTACACCTATTCATCTACTTTAATTGGTATCTGTTTAGTATCGATTTTCAGTCAGCAATCCTGTGTCTTTAAACGTATTTGTAGTGAATATTCTTTGAGTTCTGTCGAAGTAGCACTTTGTGAAGTCCCGCTTGTGTTGCAGTGCAAATTTGGATATTGTTCAGTCCAGGATAGCTCCCCATAATCGAACAAGTTTATAGTTTCATTCTCCGTTCCACTCTATTTAATCGACCTTTATTAATTTTCACATGCGATGCTTTCAAAAGTATATGTGTGACCAGGCTACTTAAAATGTATTGAGCAAATATATCACATCCTTCAGATCAATCCCGTCTCCCCAGCATTGGAAGCTGTTGGTCTTTGAATGATGATAATATTTTTCAAACACACTTTAGATAGAACATTAATGTGACTATATATATAAACCAAGAAGGTACAATAATAGATATTAACATTTGGAATTCAATGCCGCCGTTTGAGAACTTACGTCGTTCTCCATTAATACTATGTAAAGTCGTAAAACTAGAAAAAATAAATGGACTAGGTTCGAGATTGTTTTTATTATAGAGTTTAGCTGTTTTTGTTCAACAGTTGCTATCTTATTCAGGATTCATAGACGGTGGAATACAAGGTTATTTGTTCGAAATTCGTGACAACATTTTTAGTCATTAAAGTAAAAAAACTATATTAGCCTATCGAGCATGAAACGAAATTGAAGGATACATCAATCTCTGTTTTTATTGCTTTAACAAACGATGCTTACTGATACCTTATCCAATTTTACAATTTTGTTGTTTTGTTTAACTTTCGAGGTCAGTTAACGTAAATATCTTTCGCCAGTTCTTTTGAGAGCAATTACTCTGAGTCTATGCAATTATTTTAAAGCCAAACTCATTAGATGAGTAGAGGCAAGTGGTCCAAGACCTCAGATCTATGTTTCATGTTAGTTAACTCTCACCATCGTGGGTAATACGAAACAACAGTTAACCAGTAGTTTGCTCAAAGATTCCAACACATATCATTCTAAATCTGAGTTCAATTTCCAAACCCCGATCAGCTAGTGATATTCCAGTGACTTTTGCTGTCGTGGAGGAGCCATTATTTTCAGAAGTTATAATTCCTCATAGTCAAACAGAATTAATTTTATTAAACCATTTAGTTATATTATCAAGTAGTAATTAGAATATTAAATCAAATGTCTGTGGTTGGTTTTCAGGTGATTAAAAATGTTCCATTCTAAGTCCCATATTCGCATTTGGAAAATCTGGGATTCCCGTTTTCTCACATAAGACGTAATAGATAAAGTCTGTTTGAAATTTTTAAAGTCGACGTTTACTTAGTAGTTTTCGATATTTGTTGGACATATAATCGCTAGTGATGAGACATCAACTTGTAGTTAATAATTATTTGAAGGGAACTCTTGTAAACAGTGTGAAAATAATTTATAAGCTAATTCCAAATATAAACCTACACGTTGTTCAAGATTTTCTTGCAGTTCTTTGATTCTGTTCGCTGCTTCAAGAGCAGCTGCTGACGCTGAACCACAGAACAGATTTGATAAAGGAGCATTCAGAACTGATGACGAAGATGAGAATTCAGAACTCTTACTTATTCCAACTGATCCTTGTGAGAATGAAACAGTTTCTAATTTGTAGAAAAAATAAAGCGTTATTTCAGTGATTATGACGCAATAAAAATTTTAATATAATGCTAAAAGCGAAAGATGGGGAAAATTTAAATCTTTATACTGGACGAGAAGTAAAGTACATTTTGTGGTTTACATCGTAAAGTGATCTTAGATAGACAGCCATTGAAGAACAGGAAGCATCGGATAGCTATTTTGTTCTAGTATGATGCATCCATTTTCCCATCAGAGATGGAACTCCGGCCCCTAACACATCTCGACAACTGCCTAATATTTAAATAATTGATCTGATATCCAACGGTGCATATGATTAAATCCAGCAATCTCCATAAATCTTCATAACAACAGTAAATGACTGTTTGCCTATTTCGCTGATATTGATTAGCCCATATTTTATTGTATATTATAATAAGCGTTTTGTTCGACAACGTTATTCACCATTTATTAACTAAGAAACCAAGAAAAAAACAGAAATAATGACTCCACTTTTCTAAATTGAACATTGAATGAAAATAATCATTAATTCTGTATTTGCGCCTTCATTTTCTCCGCTCACTTTTTCTTTGTACATTATTTTTTTAACTCGTAGATTATAAACATTTAACACCCACAAAATAAACAAGTTTGATAAATTGGTTACTTAGAAAAATTAAATATTCCGTTTTTTCCCAAATATTGATCCAACTATGAAACTGAAATTTATGCGATAAAATAATATTTGGTAACTAAACTAGCTTATTTTTAGAAAAGATTTTTTTTCCATGTAAATATATAAGTTATACTTGGTAAACGGTAAATGTAAACATTAGAAATGTTATTTCACTTCATAATCAGTGTTACAGAAGATGATGAACAAAAGAAATTTAGATCAATTTCTATAGAATTTTTAGGTATAGAAAATTGATTCTTTTTTTATTCATTTATCTGTCTGTAAAACTTTAAAATATAGACTAAAATTACTTAATTTTATTTTCATAAACAGATTGCTTTTAGTGATTTATGTTTTCTTTCAATTCGAATACTAATATCATGAAATGATTTCACTTGTTTCAAAGTACTATTTTATGTTTTTCAGTGATATAATCTAATCTTGTCAAGTAGAATAATATTGAGGCTTTTATCATATCTAGTATCATATAAATGGAAAGTATCAACTTATTATGTGTAGTTTTTATCAAAAACTCTTTGCAAATTACAACATTTACTGAACTATATGATAAAAAAGAAATCACACATTTTTTTATTTTATAAGCACGAACAATATCAATGCCTTTATCATTAGCATACTGTGTTTTTCTTTGTTGACTAAATCGGTAAGACACCTGACAGATATCTCATTAGCTTATAGAACTAGAAAATCTTGTCTAAAACATTTGGTGTATAAGCGTCAGTCGTGTAACGTCAAACGGTATGAGTGATATTTTAGTTTCCTGATTGCCTAGAAAAAAATGTCACCTCGTTCACAAATGATTTTACTGAAGATAGTTGTTCAGAACATTCGCTGAATTTCAGTACACAGGAATTACATTCTATGATTCAAGTTAGTACATTTTATACACAATATCACGTACAGAACCCTAATTTAATTCTATATCATTGCAATGCTTAGTAAAGATATCTTATAAAGTGGTTAACTAATGAAATCAAATATATGTATGTATATAAAAGAACGTCAACAAAATGGTTCACTAACTTAGTGCAAATACTCAAGTCTTCAATTATTAGACACTTTTCACATAATATATTTGATTTAATATAACACATATTTACAAGGTTAAAATAAAGTGTTTCAAGAAAAAAGTTATCTAATTTTAATATATTACCAAATTTCAACAAGAATAGATACAAATAGTAATTACTATCAAAATACAATTTACCTTCAAGTGATAACTTTTGAATTTGATCAAGATTATTCTTTATGTCTGTATCATCATCTTTTATGAAATCTTTGTCAACTTGTGTTTCACTAGATATCATTGTTCGATGAATATTATTATTATTAAATGTATTTTCAGTGGAACTATTATTTATCTTTGAACGTTTTAGTTCGAATAATTCATTTTCTAAATCAGTTACTTTATTTTGTGACACTCTTAGACGATTATGAACTTTTTCATCTAAAACTTTGTGATGTTCAAATAAAGATTTCAATGCTTTTAAAACTTCCACTTCTGAACCTAATCCTGTCATTGAAGGACTTGTTGATCCAGTAGTTGTATTCATGGAATAATTTGACGAAGAATTTAAAATATCCATTTCGGAGCACACTGTTTCACCATCAGCCATTGTACCCCCCGGAATCAATGAATTTGTACTAGTACTCATAGCCGTTGATGTATGTCGTTTCACTACAGTCATTCTAAGTGATCTTTCATGGCGAGCTACCAAATTCTCTAAGTGTTCTAAGAGAATCTACAATTAAAACAAACGTGAAGGTAAAAGGATGCATCATCAATGTATAAGTGTACTAGTGATAAGTTTCTTCGAAACAAATTTTTTGAACATATATTTAATTATTTGGCTAATAAATTCATAGTAATCAAATACAATAGACAAACTTAAGTGTATAATTTAAATAAAATACTTTATAAAACTGCAAATTATTAGCAGAAATCATCGTAAAATCAACCTTTAAACTTAGGTGGTCAAATTCTCCTATTTTACGAGTGTTAGTTAGTATCGATTAAGTATATTCGTGATACCAGTGTTCAATATGAGTTTCATGAAAATTATAAATTATAAATTAACCTGTGGTGCAACTAAAAAAATTCTCTGAGTTAAAACAATCAATAAAGTTGTGAAGTATTTTTGGTGTTAAGAAAATGTGAAGTAATATTTAGTAGCAATGAATGACTTTAATCAGATTTTCCAACAAGTCGTAAATATTTTAAAACAGAAATTCACCTAAATTGATTTGATCAATTTTACTACATATTTAACGTTTTGTATTTCAATATATTTCTGTTTTCACTTGTGAAAACCAGTGATATTACTATTTTTGTGATTACACTGTAACAACATTCTTCATTGTCAAAGAGCAGATAAATAATTTTTAGTTTTACATGATGGACTAATTTTGGCAAAACGGCCTTTCTAATTCAGGAATGACTAGGTATTGTTTGGTCTTTGTAAGACACATACACATCTGCAACCTCGCATTGTGAGCAACGAGTTTAGGTAATTCGGGCTTGATATAGGCAATGACAATCTTAAAGAGTGGTTATCGCTTGAACTCATAAACTCACTAAAGTAAGAAATAAAGACTATTATGTTTCGACATAGTGGCTTAAAATAAAGGCGTCCGATATTGGTTGTGAAAGTTGTTTGTTTTAACTCTGTTGAGATCAGACTACATTACTTCTGAAGAACATAGTTTTGCTAATTTGTTGAGGATTTTGATGTCGTTAGTGCATTCTATCGCCTTTTTACATTTAATAACGCACAAATGAGTAGAATGTTAGCTTCACCTTTATTGCAAAAATATGACCAGAAGATTATAGAGGTTTTAGGTATTATTGTTATAATTTTGGGTTCCAAAGCATCTACTAAGCGTTCTGTATCGATCAGATGCTGAGAGATCCTATTGATGAATGCAATAACTCTTAAAAGTTTGCAAACCCACTGAAACTGACTATTTTACTGTTTTTTACGGTAGACGTATCAACGGAACACGTAAGTTTGAATGCGGTTTATTCGAGAAGGGTATTTAAATATTTCTTTATTATGTAATACTATTCCGAAAAAGGGAGTAAACTTTTCTGAAGGAAAGATTTTGATCAGCTTCATATTAAAACATCTCTTTTTGAAGATTTAATTTTACATTCATAGTATTAAGCTTAACAATAACAACAATGAATGCAAGTATACCTACCATATACTTTATTTTATCTAATAAAATTCACATAGTGGTTAAAAATGATAATTTAGAAAGATTCATTGAGTGTTGGAATACTGACTATAAACAGTTACTAAAAGAGTTTACCTCCTCAAGAAAAAAAATGTTGGTAAATCGATGACCAAAAAAATGTATCTGTTTGGATTTCTATGACGATAAAGAAAAAATATATTCAAATACGAGTAACAATTTCTTTAAAAGTACACAAAAATAAGACAATTTACGAAAAAAAAGGTATATAAACTTTTGCCTATTGATAAGACTGGAGGTTTATTAGATTTTACTTGCGAATAAATTTCACCTGAAACAAGAAAAATCTGTTTGACTCGTTTTTGGAATGTGTCAGAATTACAGATCATGATATACTTCCACGGGGCTATTATTAATCATCCTGCAAAAACGTCCTCTTTTTGTCCCCTGACTTCGCCAGGATAAATCTGAAATAATTTTTTTTGTTTGGATAACATCTAAATGTACATTTGCTTTACTATCATGTACCTCTTCTTACAATGAAGTGAAAATTTACATCTACCCAGATCACAACTATTTTTAACATGATGCAAAAATAAATGATCTAAGAATCAATTAACTTTACCTAATTAATTTTTGACATACTTGACTTATTTCATTAGTGTAAAATTTACTATTTTTGTTTATGATAGATATCAGTAGACAGTTTTCCCATGTGTAGTAGTCAGCTCAAATACTATTCATTAAATTAAATACTTACTGAAGTTTCGGTTTTATTTTTTGTAACATTTTATTTACAAGATTCTCGATTGTTTTCATTTATACAAACAATGAGGTTAGATAGTTTTATATATTTAATAAACTTCATATTTTATGACTGCTTTTTTATTTTGTGCTATATTTGGCAAGTTTAAAATTCAGAATAATTTATTTGTCCATTAAATATTTATAGCTACTTGTGGTTATTTATCAATGAAATAGCTTTATTAAGTCAAAAGGCATATCACATTACTAGTAAAGGGGTTGTGGAGATTATTAAGTTTCTGATTGAGATCATGAGCCGATTGATGTTAGACCACCTTTGGAAACCTGGAAGCACTGGATGGCCGTTTCGTCCTATTGTTGGACTGCTCAGCAGTGCGCATCCACGATCCCGCTCGCGGGATTCGAACCCAGGGCCTTCGGTCTCGCGCGCGAATGCTTAACCGACTGGACCACTGAGCCGGAATATCACATTGTTTATGTCCTTCACAGTATTGTGCTAATGTTAGGATATCTATTAAGCATAAAATAGTTTATAATACTTTTCATTTATTGAGTCATTATAATTTAAATTCATTTCTCTTTGTTAGAGAAGTATTTCGACAGTTTAAAAAACCCAATAGAAGACTCAAAAATGAAGAATATTTGAACAAACAGTTGTTTTCAGTAATTTCATCATCAGGCTCTACAGTTATAAGTCCGTAATTATTGTAATATTTTACATAGGCTAAATTAAAGCAATGTATTATAATAAATTTGACAATGTTATATGATAAAAATGGTGAACGTTTGCATCTGTTCGTGAACATGTATCATGATGGTTTGGAAAAGAAGTTACTAAATCGAACAACAGCACTATTCATCCTCACTTAGTAGATAGTGATTATCATATCAAAATAGAGGAAGCTTTCTCCGTTTTATATAAATTTTCAAGAAAATCTACCTGAAAGAGCTGGATTGTGATTACTCTACATGGTCGAATCCATCTGGATCAACTCCAGAAAATCTAACTTATATATCCAGGGAATGTATATCTAGCCTCTATGTTTACCTTGGCCTACGACTGGATCACCGAATAACTGAACTGAGTATTATAAACCTCTTACTCTCTCCCCATATTTTTATCGTAATTATATTGATAACACCCTTCATATTACGTATGGTAAGCACACAAAAATATTATTTTCACTATCTCTATTATCATTATTATCTCAATTGACAAGATGAAATTCCTCTATGTATTTTCTTTAAACGAGTTTTTGCATTTTCATTTTTGCTATATTACTGTGATAAGGATTGTGACTGGACACTACTCCAAACCAATATGACCTTTATTAAATGATCTTTTTAATTTGCAAATAACACAATTTTGAAGTATATATGTCGTAACAGATGTAAACATTCACCATTTTTTTACATGTAACATTGACAAATTTATTAATACATTGCCTTAATTTGACCTATGTAAAAAATCACAATTATCATTTCAACATAATAAATACATTGTTGGGGTTTCCAAATCTCAATTAGAGGGTTTGATAACTCCATTTAAAGTGTTATAACATCGTTTAATAACACTAAAACATCAAGCATATGAGATATTTATTCCATAGTTTTAGTGAAAACAGATAGCAAGCTTCATTTTTCCGACCATCTGTAAACACTTGATTTCTGAATTTTGATTAATACATAGGTTTACTCAATAGATACCTGAAGCATTCGATATCACCTCTGAATAGACTTTAAGTACCCTTTACTAACAGTACAAAATTCATGAACAACATATTCTTAGTGCAGATATTCGGTTGACCTGATAATCATTATGTAAAGTAAGTTAACATACAAATTAATTAATTCACCACTACAGTAATTTAATGAAATTATCAGTACAAGTCTGTGGAGATTGTTGACTTTAGATTGGTGCAATCAACGGATCAATGTTAGACCACAATTGAAAATCTGGGAGCACTGGATTCCTGTTTTGTTCTAGTATGGGAGTCCTCAGTAGTGCGCGTCCACGATCCCGCACATGGGACTCAAACCCAGTACCTTCAGCCTCTCAATAAGAAGCTTGAGAATAGTAGAAAAATATGGCGTTGTTCCAGACCACATTAACGAATCATATCGATGACTAATTATTAAATCGAATTGAAAATATTCAACGCACATAATAAGTATGAATGTTAGATTAAAAGTCAACGATTCATATATGTTGTAATACAGTCTGTTTACTATACAGTAATATCTTTAGTTTAAATATAATTCTACTATTTAGGAAATGCATTTATAACTTTGACTGATCTACCTAAAACAATGAAAAAGTACTTGAAGAATATAAATCGTCTTTTATTTTTATTTCGAAAAAAATTCAGTGAAAAAGCTATGGTATAAATATTTAGCTTATAAATAAATATACTTGGCTTTATTTTAATCAAACAAAACTTTCCAAAGTAGAACATTTTCCTTTCATTTTGATGTTTAAAACTTATTTTTTTATGCCGCAAAACGTTTCTGTGCCATGAAATTAATAATAATAATAATAATAATAATAATAATGAATTATATAAGTTACATTAAACACATCTATTCGCTAAGTAAAAGAGATTAAATGTTTACAATGTTATACTTATCCAGATCTTCTGTTTAATTTCAATTTTAAAGACCATAAACATAAAGGTGTTAGACTAAAAATACAAGATTGGGATGTTTTGTGTTTATCAAAGATATTAAAGTCATAAAAATATTTTTATTATTCTACTTTTTTTCTTATTTCAATAAATGCTCAATATTCAATTTGTTTGTTTGTTTTTTTCCTTTATTGTAATAAATGTCTTAAAATTTATCTTTCAAAACTAAATAAAATCAAGAAAAACATTAATAGAACCTAAAAATTGATCAAGAGATATTTTTACTTTGAGTTGTGTTTCACTTTATCAAGATGTTTGAAATTCATATCAATTAAAACATACAAAGATGGGTAGTGGCTAGCAGTAGAATCTAGGACGCGCGCTGACGAGTCCCAAATAGAATGAAATACGCATTCCGGATTCCACTGTTAGCCACTATCCATCTTTGCTTATTAAAGCTTGTGAATTAAGGCAATATCGAGGTATACGCACAGTATGCACATATCTCAATAGCAGACTGTACATTTGCAGTCTTAAACCTCAATCGGAAAATACAAGCATAGCAATACCAAGTGAATTAAAACATACGTTTACACTACTAACATATCCAATGTTGTGAAGCTTATAAAAATGGTTATCAAAAGAGTCTAGAAGATGGATTAGTGTAGTTTTATAAATTAAGCTGTTTAATATAAACGTTATTTTGAAGTCTTAACAGTTAGGTAATTGTTAAACCAACTTTAAATGAAATGCCTTACATTACTGACTGATTGTTAAAAATCCTTATAGCGTTAAATAATTGAGTTTCCTTAAGTAATGTACACATATGCATCCACCAGGTATCGATATTATGTTGGATTATATGATTTGTGTGAGTCCAACGCATGCAATGTTCATGAGTGGGTACTGATAAAGTATCTAATATTGACAAAAAAGCAGTTAATCGATTATTTTTGGTTTCCACTGGAACGTCACAAAATTTCTATCGAAATTGAACGAAGAGTATTAATGCAAGAGGCTTATGGGAGAGTGTTAAATTAAATCATTTATATCACGAAATGAACATAGGTGGACAGCTACTTTTCCTTAGTATTGACTTCTTAGCATTGTGCATCTATGATGCACCCAAGAATCATCAGACATTCCAGAATATAGCCTTTATATCACTAAGATGACATTCAATGGTTTACATTCATAACATCAGTTAACTGAGTAGCCATCTTCTGATGAAGATGATGAGTAACTGCTTCACACAACAAGGTTGATTTTAACTGTCCAGTCCTTTTACCAGAACTCCAGGAATTACCTCTCGATTAACAAACCAAATTAAAAATTTTCTTGATTAGCTTATCGTAATTCCTACTTATTGTATAGTTCTAAACGTAATCGGTATTTATGAGTTAGTTATAACAACCGAAATAAAAAAAATAGAACGAAACTAAGCACTCCGGTTCCATATAATTATTTAACTTCAAATAAATGTTTTTAATGAATGATTAAATATTCTTGATATGAACAATCAAATAAAACGTTATAGGATCTTATTTGAAGTTTATTTTTGAATTACTTGTGGTCTAAAAGGAGGGTTCTTCTAATGCCTTTATTCAGTAGTGTCTTTATAAAATTTCATAACAATGACAGTTAAATATTCTGATTTTTTACTTTAATCGATTTATTTGGCAGACAGCTTATGATTTATGCGATACTTTACAACTTTCAAATGAGTTTAAGAACTTTCAATGAAATTTGCTTTTGTAATTTTGATACAATAGAAACGTTTATTTATATCGTTGTCAACTGGAATCACTCACAATCACAGTTTTTCGTTTAGAAGTCAATAATTTGACAATCGCAGCTATGAGCCATACTGTAGATCGAAATTCTAAAGTATTCAGTAACACAACTCCTAAAAACTAATAAGTCAGAAGATTTATTATTATTAAAAAAATATGTTTAATGGGTGTATTCCGATCTTCAGATGTTAGTGGCTACGGTTCGATTATGTTTACAATTTAAGCACTGAAACATGTTATTAATCTGACATATAACGAAATCCTGAGATTATATCTCCATTTTATCCCTCATTTACGGTTAACATTATTTAGTAATGTATCTTAGTTTGAATATGAATGTATGGCAAATTTGTTACAACATAAACTTGTTATCTTTGATTGTAGACAATTACATTTTGAAATCAGCCAATTTACTTCTCTACTTTAAATGAATTAAATAATACAGAATACCTTCTAGCATTGAAACCATCTTCAATTTCTGTCGTAAAAAGAATACAATTTGATTAACTTAAACTTATGAATAGAACTATTTCCGTAAATATAATTTTAATTACTAAAATAAATTTCAACAAGAAAAAAAATTCTTTTCAAGTATTCAATTTATCAGAATGGGAATTTTAGGAAGATTGTCATAATTTTAATAGTTGAATTTATGCTTTAATATAAGCTAGACATACTTTCATATTGTTTCGTTCAGCTTTCAAATCATCGATTTCATCACATCTTTCAATTAATTGCTCTTCAACTTCTGTTAGTTTTTTTGACATTTCCACAACATCCTAAATGAAATAACCAAAAGGTAATTTTAATAGAAAAACAAGAAAAGAAAATTATTTTAAAGAAGAACATTACTTTTCTATCCAGACATAGTTATAATAGTTTCCATTATATATATATATATATATATATATATATATATATATATATATATATATATATATATATATATATATCATGAATTATTTGTGCAGAAATAACAATAAACATTTTTAAAAGCATTCATATTACTAATAAGTAATTAATCTTAAAATGAAAACAGAAAATTTAACCAGTTATTGTTAATTTCAATTCAATGCAAGTCTGTCACTAAATATTTGCGAGTATATGGTTTAAATAGTTTTACTTACTAACAATTTAGAAACTTTTTTCCTTAGATGTACATTAAGAAAACATGTTAAGGTCTGTTTGTGATGTATAATGTCATCAAAGTAGCCTAATCTACACTGTTATCTCAATAATGAATCACGTGCTCACTACTGACCGGCATTCCAAAGTTGCATTGGGTTATTACTGCTGAATTTCATTCATGTTGACTCTGAGACTCATTCATTAATGAATTGGATAATTTTACTGCTTCGAAAACTGATTAAAGCTGGAAATGTGAACTACTAGATTCAAATCCAATAGTTTGAATGCAACGCCAGATCCAGATTTCCTGGTTTCGGTTCCTGTTTTGACTATACTAGAACAAAACGATAATTAAATGGTTCATGACTCCCACTTGTCTTCTAGTTGATCTCAATCGATGGCTAGAAGTATTAATAGAAAAGTTATTCTTACAATGACTAACCTTATGGGTTAAAACTAGTTTAATACTATAAAGTTACGGAATTAAAACGATCGAATACTCGATTTTCAAACTGATTTGCACAACCGAATCTCAAAATCTGTCATCTGACACTTAATTCGTTGATCGGGGACTCGACACCTTTTAACTCGTGAATTTAATATAAAATAGTCTAATCACCAATTAAATTTAGCATACGTTGCAATCACTGAATACCTAAAGGTCTTTATTTCAGACACACTTGCCATAAATCAGTGTTTAAGGCAACCAGCTAACTGAGTATTCAATATGCTTCACATCTCATTATGTTTGAATTCTTTTGGCTAACTTAATCAACCACTCTAACAAACGTTTCAGAACACCATACTTAGAGAACTATTCATTCCTCGCATAGAATTCCCAAGTTCATTACTTCCTAATTAGATTAGTTAATAGATCAACAAAATGCATTTATTAAAACATTCAATGTTTACTATAGAACACCGTATTCAACATAGTTTAATGCTTTAACTAAAATCTCCTGACGTTTTAATAGATGAAACTTTGATAGCTATAATATCTGTTAAATGTTTTATATTGCAGTTAAAATTATGCATAAACATTGTATACACTTTTTAATTACGGCTAATAAATGAAAACAAATATGTATATTTTGATTAGAATTAGATGGTATAAGTACATAACGGTAATCTCAAACTTTTATACAGTTTCATTTATTAGTGTTTCATTTAAAATTAAATATCTATCATCACAGTTTGACACTGAGCATTGATATTTGAACAATTGTATGTTTCCAGGTCATATTGAAAACTATAATGGTGAAACGTTATACAGTTATGTAACTTATCAGCCTTGTTACACAAAACACTTTTAGTTAAAAAGAAATGTATTAGTTTTCAGTTCTATTACATTGAAGCCCATGGAAACTGGAATAAAATTGAACATTGTGGAATAGTATTATATTGGCTTCTTATATCCTTGTTAGTTATAATTATACAGTGTTGATATTCTTAACCAAAATGTTAGTTTTACGTAACTTTTATTGATACAATATTTACATTACTGTTCTTAACTCAAAAAATACTTCGAAACAATATGAAACTTTTTAGGATTTATAAATTTATTAATGTTGTTAAATGGTTTAACAGAGCATTAATAAATTAAAATAAATCAACCTAATCAAAATTAGAAGATATACTAAGTTATTTCATGTTAAATAGTTTTTACTAAGACAGACAATTTCATTATAAGATCAATTAATTAAAAATTAAGTATGAGGTGTAACGTTTTTAGAAAACAATAGAAAATGTTATTTCAAATCAATATTGCAAGAAAGATCGGTGGAACACAGTGTACTCTTTTCTGCAGATTCGTTCTCAAAACTAAAGGATATGGTGAGCAAGGACTTAACTGATTGTAGTATGAGTAACATACGACAATAATTAATTTATTCAATAGTCTATAACATGCAAACACATTTTAAAAAGTAATCATATTTGTTATATCTATGATAAACCGTTAATTTTATTAAATTACACATCTATGATTATTTTGTAACTTATTTATCAAATGATTTTAGGTATTGCTCAATTTCAGTTATATAAATTTGAATGTTAATTTGAGTGTAAATAAATCATGTAAAAAGTAGTGAATCCAAAATTCATTTTAATTTATTTTGGTGATCAAAAAAATTCATGTTCATCATCTTCGTGTTCTTACATGGGTCTTACGATTTATGATGTTCAGTAAGTCTGTTAACTTTTCCGTATATTCAACACTACAGTCACAAATATATAATTTTTTCGACAACAAATAATTATGAGTTTGTTAAGGATAACAGTTTACTGAGCATTGCTACGAAACCACGGAAGAAAGTCATTCTCATCAAGAGACTTAAAATATTGTCTTTAAAATCTTGCATATTCATCAAGAATATCTTAAACTTTATGTAAAGAGTAATAACCATTAAAAAGGTTTGGGCAACATGACAAGATAAACTGTTAAAACTAATATATAAAGAAAGAGTATATATGCAATTGTGCAGTATTAGCAAAATATCCACTGAAAAGAAGATTATTCATCCTAAATAACTTTCTTGTTAGTTCTTTGATTGTTATCTTGAGTGACTAAGGTTTGAATCCTACGGGAAGTATTACTGTCCTCGGAACTACGCATATTCACTACTGAAAGAATAACAACCAGCACAAAACCTAGGTTCATAGCGCTGAAAATAACCACCAATAACTTGACACAGTAGACATCATTTACTGAACATTTGAACTTTTTCCAAGCAAATATATGTAATCAATCCATATCTAATGATGTTAAAAAGCATTAAAAAAGATCTTATTTTTCATGCTGATTAGTTACTATATTTCATGAAATATTTTTAAAGAAGAATTATTTCCTATAAAATCACTTTAAAGATATTTGTGATCAAATATCTTTACTTTGAGTATATATTAAATGCCGCGTAAGATATAAGAAAAAGAATGATTAAACATGTACTTTGTATGTTCTCAAAAATTACATTTATCTGTTACATTCATCTGTTTACTATTTAGTGACAATCTAATTAGGAGAAACAATTACTTTTTTTAATGCAAATAGCTCAGATAAATGTTCACTTATCTTTAATTCAAATTCAACTGAATTTATACCATATGTTTAAGTTTAATACATAGTAAATAATTATTTCTTTATAGATTAAAATGATTCAATTCATATCATATTTCAAAGAAATAAATGATAAAATGTTAAATGCCGTTTTTTGATAGGATAATCATAATAACAATAATAAATATTCATAATTAATGGTACAATAAAATTGGAAATTCTTTCCTTTTTTCACATGTTTATGTCGATATTATCTCCATATGACAATCAGTAGAATTGTGATTATAAGTTTGATTGTTGAGAAGGCTTTAACCAGAGTATCATATATCGTTTATTTTTAACGGTTTTTCTTTTCAATAGGCGCTAGTCCGTAGTAAAACTAATTACAAATTATCGAAATTCATGATTCTAACATGTTTTAAAACATTTCTTGTCTTAACACCATATATATATTATGTTGAAAAAAATAAAATAGTGTCAGATACGACTCACCTTCATAACCATCAACTTTCGTGGATAGTTTCTTTTCCTGAAAAAAATCTATCCATCTGTGATTTTGTGAGTTCTGTATGGCTTTAATTTATTTATGGTTTTAATTTGTTCAGCTAAATAATTTATTTAAATTATGATACAATTGTAGAATGCCTTACATATTATTTAACAAAAATATAACCCACAAATAACCGAGAAAAATAATCTTTCTGAATTACTAAGTTGGTTAAAAAGAATGATGCCCAACAAAGCTATTAGTTTACAACATTTAGGCTAATCTTACTATGCTAACGATGATGAATTTCATTTAAAGTTTGCTGTATAGCATTTCATCTAATATCATTTACGCAATAAGCTATGTTTTTTCCAGTTCAAAATGAATCTAATTATATTAATATCATATTACATATATTCTTGGACGTGTGATGGCAAAAGGATTAACATCAGTAACATAGAGCTTAGTACAAACATGTATCCATCTTAATTACTAAACAATATTTCAAGTGAGAAAGAAACTAGAGATAATTTTAATTGCTTCAGCGGTAAACCAACTCCATAATATGTTATTTCAAAATAAATATGATGAAATGAAAAACCCAAAAAACATGAATACAACTTCAAAGTTATTGATTTCTGATCATATATAATTAACTGTTTAACTACAAAATTAACATTACTTTAAGAGCATCAAATAAGAAGTTTGTACCTCTGCACTGTTTATATCAACAATCAGTAACTTTACTAATTGACGATATTTTTAAACTAAGTCACCTCTGCCCCAATGAATATAGTCCTTCAGTGTGAAAGATGTTGAGTCATGTGCAAAATTTGTTCCATCCACCTCAGTCAATTTCATATCTTTATTAACTGAAATACAACCTCTTACCTAATACTTTTTGATCTACGATAACACGGATCACTAGATAATTCTAACGTAAAGAAGTCATTCCGGTGATGACTATAACTATATGAATACATCTCATACATATATTCTACTTGGGATGGCCCTATTTCACTCATGTGAAGAAATAGAGACTAAACTTCCTCAGACTATAAACGTTCCTTTATCAGAAATATATATGAATGTTTGAAAATGTTAATCGGAGTTTTCGGTTTGACAGTTACATGTTAAGCAGTTAACAAGCAAGAGATATAATAATGTTACCAGATAATTAATATATATATATATATATATATATATATATATATATATATATATATATATATATATAAACAACCAGTAAAGGTAAACTGCATTTCATTCGTTTTCATTAAGATTAGGTAGGACCTAATCTGGAAACTCTCAAATGAATATCATTTACTTGTAATTAATTTAGATTGGAATTTTAGTTCACTTATCTTTATATATTTCTTGAATTGAGCAAACTAGAAAAGAAACTTTAAAATTTATGAACAATATATAAAAAAGGGTAACCCAAACGTATTCACAGAGGGCAATCTTATCTATTAACTAATGTTGTCATTTTATTTCATAAGCATTGCTTTAATGGCATTCATTTAGGGAATTCAATTCAACCTCTCTCTCAGACTTAAGATTTTCCTAGTTTTACACTATCCAAGTGTGTACTTTGGGTGGGTTTAAGGTCATTTTCACTTGTTCTATAATAATATTTTGGCGTTGTTCTAATCCAATCCTGTTAATTACAAGAAAAGCTCTGTTACTGACAATATGGATCGGTATTGACATGAGCGCGGCATTTGAACGGGTCAGTATCACTTAAAAATAAATCTAAAATAGCTGGCTTTCACTGATTTATCAGTATGTTTCTCGTCACTGAACAACAAGATGAAAGTCTTATCAATCTGTAATACAAGCACAAACAAATCAACGAAGCAATAATACGTGATTACTTCTTAAATATTGTTTCTTTCTAAAGTCATGATCAAATTGTATAGATGTTTCCAAATAGTTCAATGCTTAGGTTCATCTTTATGATTTTTGATGGACCTAGTTCAAATTTTCAGGGTAACAAAAGTTCAATAACACTGAAGCTATATTTTACTAATAAGCATTTCAGTTTACTAGTCCTGGACCAATAATATAATACTAAGTAATCAGGAAAACCTAATAAATGGTGTTATGTCCTATTATTTAAGTCACTATGCCCATGAATTCTGACTATAGATTACATACAACACAATAGTTATGAAATTTTGACTGACATTTAAATAATTGTTCTTCTAATTGCTTTTTTGTTAATGGTGAGAATTCCGAAGTAAACGATTTGATAAACATAAATAATTAAAACTGACATTTTGACTGAAACGGTTCAGTATAATTCGTCTACTATTTTATTTGTCTGACTTTCCAAAGTTATAATTTATTTTTTACAAAACAATGTTTAGCTGTTAACTTTTCTTGTAATTGTTGTTTAAACACATTCATATTATTAGCTAAAAGGATTTTACTGACTGATTTTATCCTTATAAAAAGTTAGTAGTAAAGACATTTAAACGAACGTCTGTAACCGTTCTTATTTCAGTATAAAGGAAAGTCAGCCATAATCTACTGTTGTAATGAACATACTTGAGGCATTTTAGCTGACAACTGTGCATGAAGTTTATCACGTTCTCTTTCAACTTCGTTCAATCGAGTTCTTGTTTCGTTTACTTGTTCCTGTGATTCACGCAATCCTTCCATCAATCTGTCACGTTCATCCAACATGCTAAGTAACATATCTTCAACATTCGTACCATCTGCACTAACCAGTGAATCTCGATCACCCTGTAAACATGTTAAAATAATCATTTTAGATAATGATAACAGTGGTAATGCTCCATTCTTTGGTAAACATTTCTGTTTAAGTAATTTCATATTTCAGAAAAAGTCCAGTTCTCGACTTTATCTCATTTTTATTTAGCTCTGATAAATTGAAAGACATAATGCTAAATTTATTTGCTGACTGGATTTTGAAAACAAACTGTTAGTCATTTTCAACAGTCATGTACTATGTGAAAATTTAAGTTGTATCCCGATGAAAATCAGGATTAGATAAAACTACGTAAAGGAATAATTTGGACCTATTTAAATAAAGAATTTTGATAGAGTAATAAGAAGACAAAAAGTATCACAACTATCTGATGCATTAGCACATAGTTCTGGTTATCTTTGTCGTCTTAGTACACTACCAAGTTTATCATAGAGACTAATAATTTCAAACGGAGAATGTTGTTGGACGAAGTATTTTTAGATTTACGCTACTTAGACAACACTAATTTCATAACTTTCAACTCCCGATAAACAAGCTTTAATTTCTCTAAAATATCTATAAAATTTGAGCAGTTTTGTGTCTCAATTGAATATCTACAACAATTCATCCTGTGACGAGCCAAAAGATTGGAAAACACCAATCTTTCTATTCAGCAAAATTAATATTTTTATGATCACTCGTACTAAGTTCCCAAACTTTTATAAATTCTGTATTCTGTATACCGTAGCACATACTTTTACAACCATTATTAATGTATCTCTTCCTACTTTCCTGTTTTTCAATAGGTTGTCTCGTTTAACAGCGTCTTTTGGATAGGATTTTCCTACAAACTTATGGAAACAGCTGAATATGAAAGGAAAACGATCATTACGTATAGTAATCACGGGTCTTCGTATAAGTTCAACATATTATAGTCGTGTTCTCCACAATATGTACCCCCACACATTATATTGTTATATATAATTTGACAGTTTTATTTACTAGATAAATAGATAAACTGAAATGCTTGGACCAAATTTCTGTTAAGAGGAGCTGCATAACAGCTTTTCTTTAAAACCACATTTTATACTGTACTGAACGAGAACACAAGAGGGGACAGTCGGGTGCATGTAAACACAAAATTACAGAACATCTTACTAAAATCTGAGAACCATACAGTGAACACTTAATTTGCAAAACGTCAATCACTTGTCTCAAACATGACTGTTCCTTTAGCAAATGTCAGCCAATCGTCTCAGACTTCAAAGTTTCTTTATTTCCATACCAATTGCTTTCCGTTCCTGTTCTTTCCTCCTCGATCTTCTTGACCTTCTGCTGTCAGACATTCTATTCCTGACTGGCGTTGTATACTACTTATATCGATATAAGTAGCACATGCCACAACATTAATCAATTAGTGATAAATAACCAATACCATATTGTTTATTTATTTATGTTAGCTACACTTTATTAAATAGTTTTTGTAGTTTTATTAACCAAGCCATGGAACTAGGAATCTGTATGGTGTTAATCAACAGTGATTATTAAAAACAGGACAGAAAACTCTTAGCAGATCCTCTGAGTTATTGAGTCTAATCTTTTTAAAATTCACTTGAGTACCTAGTAGCTTAGCTACAATATTAGTTGAAGTATGTTATCAAAACCATTTTCGTTGATACTACAAATGCTCCTTGTTAATGACTAATATATATTTCTTCTTATGGGTTTCAAATATCAAAGACCAAACCATACTTATTCATAGGGACTTTTGTAGTCACATTTAGTTTCTACGTCAATATAACTCTATCAGCTTATCTACGGGTCGGGAAAAATTATTGTCACTGAAAAACTTACGCACTTTTGAATACTCAGTTTCTTATTTTTTTCAAACCTTTCGTATGCATATTACATGTGCAGTCTAATAAAAGATTTGCATGATTTTCTTAAAATTAAATAGTTTAGTTTTCTAAGTATTTCAATATTCATCAGGGGGTAGCCTGATTATGCATAATTCAAGTTCAAATATCATGTCAACTATTAAGTCATGTGACAAATAAATAAGTAACTAAACAAATAGATAGACAATGAATTTGTATATACAAATGATTTCAAGTTTACCTGAGATCCAATATCTTCGTTAATTGTTGGCATAACATCACAGATCATTTTTCTCTATAGTACAGTTGGTGAAAACAGTTGAAGTTTATCACATCTTTGAGTATATAAGGAAAAACAGATATATGGTATGAAAAATGTTTCAGAAAAAACATAAATAAAAGATCACAAAATATGCTGGCCATATATTCACCAAAAGTAACATTGAATATATTGATGTTTGTATAACCAACAATTTACTCAATAAAAAAGACAAATATGGCTAGTGATATTAACTACTCACGTGTGGTGGCTAAAGTGTTGAATATATAATAAATACTTGGGTGGATTTTCTACTTGTGACATCGATTTACAGAGCCATTAAGACTCAATATACATGTTCCGTATTGTAAACAGTCGCATCTGATTACACATCACTTACTTACTTAATTACTTACTTACTTACTTACTTATTTATTTACTTACTTACTCCTGTTACTTCCAAATGAAGCATAGGCCGCCCACCAGCACTCTCCAACCCACTCTGTCCTGGGCCTTGCTTTCCAGTTCTATCCAATTCTTGTTCATTTTTCTCTTGTCTGTCTCCATTTCTCGACGCAATGTGTTCCTTCGTCTTCCTCTCCTCCTTCGGCCTTGAGGATTCCATGAGAGGGCTTGCCTTGTGACGCAGTTGTGTGCTTTCCTTAATGTGTGTCCTATCCACTTCCAGCGCTTCTTCCTGATTTCTTCCTCCACTGGGATCTGGTTTGTTCTCTCCAACAGTACGTTGTTGCTAATAGTGTCTGGCCAACGGATCCGAAGTATTTTGCGTAGACAATTGTTAATAAACACCTGTATTTTCTGGATGATGGCTTTCGTAGTTCTCCAGGTTCCTGCCTCATACAGTAGAACTGTCTTGACATTTGTATTGAAAATCCTGACTTTGGTGTTGGTTGACAGTTGCTTTGAGTTCCAGATGTTCTTAAGTTGTAAATTTGCTGCTCTTGCTTTGCCGATCCGCGCTTTCACATTTGCATCAGATCCACCCTGTTCATCAATGATGCTGCCTAAATATGTAAAGGTTTTTACATCTTCTAAATCGTCTCCGTCAATTGTGATTGGATTGGTGCATGCTGTGTTGTATGGGAGAATCTTGCTTTTCCCTTTGTGTATATTGAGACCTACAGCTGCTGAGGCTGCTGCTACACTGGTCGTTTTCTCCTGCATTTGTTGTTGCGTTTGGGATAGAAGGGCCAGATCATATGCGAAGTCTAGATCGTGCAACTGCATCCTAGATGTCCATTGTATCCCGTGCTTCCCTTCAGACGTTGACGTCTTCATGCTCCATTCGGTCACCAGGAGAAAGAGAAGGGGTGGGAGTAAGCAACCTTGCCTGACACCGGTCTTTACTTCGAACGAGTCTGTCGGCTGTTCTCCATGCACGATTTTGCAGTTTAATCCGTCATAGGGATTCTGTATGATATTAAATATCTCAGACACGCCGTAGTGTCGAAGAAGCTTCCGTAGTGTTGTTCTGTCCACGCTATCAAATGTGAGAAGAAATTTCTCTAGACTCACTTCAATTCGGCATGTCGCTTATAGAGACACGAAAAGCTTCACAGCTTATCTTCATTACCAATAGATTAGACCTTAAGTAATGTGAAACGTAAGTTCATTGAGGAAACGGCGTTAAACCTTATAGTTGAAGTATAAGTTCTAGACGCTAATTTTTCCCACTACATAAAAGTGAACCGTCATATTTAATCAACAATAAACAGCTAAAATAGCGAGAAAGTGTACCCTGTGAATGTCATTTGGTATTGAACTGAGAAACCAATGCGCTTGAAATCCATCAGAGAGTACCAATAAAATAATCCTCAAACGTATTTTGAAAATATTAGCTGTTTTTACACTTATTTTGCTTCTGTAGGTAAGATGCTAGTAGGCATACAATTATAGATACATCTAGGTCAAAACTATTGAAATTGGAAACACAAGACAAGAATGTTTATGTGCTACGTTGCGAACCATACGTGAGGTTTAGTGAAATTAGGGTTTGCATTTTCTTTCAAGAAGGTAAGTTATGAAAATCATCTGAGTGTGGAAATGAAACTCCAGAAAGATAGATTTATGAAATATAAATAAATCAGGTTTTTGCTTTGCATACTACCTACATATTTGTCTTTTACCATATGTGCATTTGAATAAATGCTACTGCAACAGTACAAAATTGCCATAACACTTAGCCGTTCAATAAACATTTATATAATACAGTTAAATCCTATTACCGGGTTTATTATTTTTCTGACTAGGTTATCAAAATTAAGCTGTAATGTAATAAGTGTTTCACAACTCTTTATGCTATATATTATAACTAATATGCCAAAAGGCTGCAACTTCATTAAAGAGATGCTTCTTTCAACTAGTCGCATAGATTCAAGGACTTGTTAAATAGCTACCTAATTATTTAAACCAGAAGGCTTGTATAAAAACTGTGATTGTTTAAGAACATTTTGGTCCAGCTTAATTTTCAAGATTCAGATTAATTAGAGACGTAAGTTTATACTCTTCGAAAATGGTCCGTATTTTTATAGGATGCTCGACTTACTTAACTTCTTTTACATATGGATGTAGAAAACGGATTAGTTAGGACCATTTCACTACACAATCAATCCGATAAGTATATGCTGATTAGATAAAAAGGCGTAGAAACTAGACATCAAAAGTGACGAAACTCTCAAGGCATTCTAAAGTTTATTTAGGAGACGACTCAAGGACAATTAGACATCATTTCTGTGCAGTATTTGTGTTGATCTGGAAATACCTCTTACATGCGTGACCTCACTATTCACATTTAAAGCTTTTCTACCATATGTCTTCTTGCATTTTGCCACTTAGAGTTACAGTCTATTCATAGCGGCTAGTTTTTCAAAAACAATCTGGAGGTTCCTATTTTTTTCAGCTACAGACAACGCTAACTCATATATATTATTGTTGCTTGCTTGTGAACACGAAATCAATTGTTTGATTAAGTATTACTTTCACGTATGACAAACACCGACAAGAAGTTGAAATAACAAGATAAACAACATTTTTAAGAATAAAAGGTAGGTTTTATATCTTTTGACATTCTGGCTTGTCAGACGGACCTACAAGATATCTTAAAAAGTAACCATGAAACGGAATCAGAAAAAGATTGTAAAACTCATAATTTCTGGACGTGAATGTTGTTCCGTTTACGCTAAGCCATAAATGAAACTAGATCGTAGTTAGATGCTTTCAGTTTATTTGAAAGATTTAATGTGCTCCAGCCAAACTTCTCTATTCAAAATAAAGTTACACAAATTTTCACACAAACTTTACTTTTTCCAGATCATTTGACGTCTAAATTGCTAACGAAAGAGCACCCATAAAACATATTCTAGCTCTTATGCAGTCTGTAAGAGTTCAAACATTATAATAAAGACCACAAAGATACGCTTCAATTACTTCACAAAACAACTGAAACGATATCAGGCCAACACTTCATTGGTCGATCTAAGCACAAAAACAGAATACGACAACTATATATACTAAAAAGAAAGCACGTTACACAGATTGTTAAATACGAATAGCAAAGTACAGAAAACACGACTAGAAGGTTCAAAGATTGTTTATTGGTTGCCTTGGTATTGTAGTTGGAATAAAAATCTGTGCAAAGCACTGCACACCAAGTCTCGATTCTTCCATTTTAATTTATCTATCCGCACTAATATCCCACCTAATTTCGGTCAGAAAAATAAACAGTATAACATCAAACATGAAATTCATCCATTTAAAACTAATTGATACGCGCAACAACGCGTGATAAACGTTGCTAAAAAATTCTGGATAACGTACGATCACCATTTCGTTGATTATTAAAAGTCCGCTAGAAAACAAAATCGACTGTCATCAAAGGTTAGCATATTAAAACAACCACTGAGTCATTACTTTAAGCAGAAATATCCCTTTCACAGATTATGTGCAGTTCACAAGCAATTTAATTCCACCATTTGCCCATAATAAATATATATTACTAAGTTTTCCACAACCAAAACCTAAATTAATAAAAAAATTCTATTTCACAACAGGCAATATAAAATTACCGAAATACTGTTTGTGCCTACATAATAGTGGATAGTTCAGTCAGTAAAAGTGACTTACTGCATCGTATTTCTACTCTGGTAGCTTTCAAAATCGCAGCATGAATTGTAAGTGTAGCGACAAATAATTCACCAAAATCAATAGCTCTATAAGTCTTCGACATTGGATGTTGACCACATTAGTTTTAATGAACTCACCTAGCTGAAGGCTCTCGGAAATGCATCCGCACCAGATCACGAGTGAGAACGCCGCGCTCAACATTTCCTGCAATCACTACTCAGTCTAGATCAGTCGATTCTCGATGTATTGATAGCTTATCGAATATATCTTCGAACCTCCTCGCTTCTGTCTTTTGATTCCTTCCTTCTTCATTCTTGTACTTGACACCTAAGGTACTTAAGTTAAGGACAACGTCCCCACCTTCGTTTCAACTGATGCCCTTCTGGCCAAACAACATAGAAGCCTGGTTCTGCTACACAAAGGCTGACTTCCACGAGCACGGTGTGTATAGTTCCACGCAGCAGTAAAGACACCACCTCGCGAATTCAACAGGTACATAACACCTAGTATGATTACCAGTGATGTTTCGGAACCTTACGAAACACGTAAAAGATCTGTCCTTAAACGCGGAGATCTAACAGATCGACAAAGGTTGGAGCAACTCCTTGATAATATCGACCTGCAACACGGTTCAGCGACAGACATGTTGCAAAGAATGAGAGAGCCTATCGGCCAGTGAACCTTCGATGATGGCCTATTCAGACAAATTTTATCTAAACTTCCTGAACAGGTGCAAGCTGTGCTGGTCTCGTTTCAAAACAATTCCTTGAACGAGCCGGCTGCATCTGCCAACCGCACCTTAGAAATCACGAAATCTTCTAATGCCGAGGTTTCTTCAATCAAAGAAAAGCCTTAAACGACCCAGAATGATACTACACAGTTATGTT